CAGTTGATGTTGAAAATATTTTTGCAAACATTTATTCGTATTTTTATATATATATTGTGCGTGTTGAAAGTTTGACTAAATTGTAATTCTCATTTCATCCTATTTGTCCCGCTTTGTCTCAATAAAAATGTGGTCACTTTATATTAAATAGATAATTTTTGTCTTCACGTATTTGATCTTAAAATATTCTGAGGGAATCATAAAGTTTAATTTTTTTCTTTTCTTTCTATCTTTTTTTAAATTCTTTTAGCAGTTTTAGACTGAGAAAGAAGCAGTGAGGATCAAAAAATAGTTAAAATGTAGAATCTCAAAAATGCATTTAAAGCATTAAACATTGCAGTCCGGGGATAAGACCTTTTATGTTGTTGTTTGATTTATTCATATTTAACAGTAGTTAAAGTGATTTTCCTTAATAAAAAATAAAATAAATCTTGATTTACAAAAATTTGAAACAAGTTTCTTCAATATGGGTAAAGGACCTGGTGGCGACTTGAAGCCTTCCCAGCTTCAGATCAATGGACACATTCCTGTCTGGAAATAAAAGGCGGTCGGTGCGCAATGTTGACCTCATTGCAACCGGCATTTTATTGATCCCAAAAATTGGGGAGACTGAGTCAGTATGATTCTGTAGACTACAACAAGCTGTTGTGAGCATGCTCTACTCTAATAACAGAAGGCACATGCCTCATTTCGAGTATTCAGTTCCATCAAAAAGTTCTAAAAGAAGGCAAATTTCTTCCAAAACTCTATCAAGAAGTTCTCTTTTTTTCTGGATTGGGTTCAAAATTACAAGGCTAAGGAGTTGAACATTTGTAGTCTGAACTCGGAAAATTGGATCGGCTGTTCAAAGATGATTGTGAAATAAAATAAAATAATAAAACAATGTCAATTGACGTAATAAAGAAACCTAGAATTTTCAAATTTTACTCTGAAGCTCCATTTTTATAGTTTTAACAGAAGTACAAAAATGCATCTAGCAGGCAAACATGAAAATCATCATAACATTTATAGCAAAAATCACTTCCGTATCAAATCAATGAAGAAGAAAAAAATGACGTTTTGTGTAATTATTGTACTTCCCAAGTTCCTTAAATCTTGTTTTAAGTATTATTTATTTGTCGTGCGATATTTAAATTTTTTTTCATTTTGTATGAAAGTGAAAAAGCCTTGAACTAAATAATCACAAAAAAAAAAAAAAAAAAGGGANTTAAAAAAAAAAAAAAAAAAAAAAAAAGTGAGAAAAAGTATAAGTGATAATTTTATTTAAAAAAAGGCACTGATGTAAAAATGATGGTGAACTTTATTATCCTTTTAACATATTTTCTGCTTCAATCTTTTATAGTTTCCTGATTATACTACTTAATTTTGCCCAAGGAGAAAAAATTCTTTTGGATGGACTAACTGGAAAATTTGAATAATTCTCATGCTTTTATGAATCTGGATCTGGAATGCAAAATAAACCCAAAGTTAATGACCTGTTAAATTTCAAAAATAGTTTTTAATCACCAAAAAATATTTTAGCATGCATAATTAGATTATGCTTTTCTGCTTTTGGCAATAAACGTTCCTCTTTATAACGTAATAAAAATTCTTTTATTTGGGCAGTCGAATCACTATCAAATCTTCCATTATATTTACGATTGAACCTCGAAATTTCACGCAATATCTTAAATGTTTGAGTAGCTATGAGCGATATAAATTAACGACTAAAATAAAAATAGTGATGTAATAAATATGCTATCTTCATTTTAACTGGAGTTTTCCTATTAAGTAAAGATAGAATGCTCTATAATTTTTTTTTATTTGTGGACTCCAGTTTAAAAATCATATCGATCAATTTTCTTAAATTTTTCGCAAGAGATCAAAAGTACATAAATAAACAAAAAGTACTCAATCAATTACTTTTAATTTTATGTAGATTCTATATTTATTTAGATGATAATTTAAACTTAATATTTAAATGTTTGAGTTTTTGTTTCAATCTCAAATTCATTTTCGATATTTTTTTTCTTTGCATTAGTCAAAAAATAGGCTTAAGAATTTCAAAAAGTTGAAAAAAGTTAATTTTGAAAAAAAAATATTGTGTTGGTTTTAACACATAAATTTCTGTTCAACAGCAATATTGGGTATTACCTGATTAAAAACTTCATTCACTTCAGAAATAAACGAATAAGAAAAAACAGCCAAGATGTTTCAAGAGCATTCAAAATAGGCGCCCAATTTCAAGACTTGAATGTAAAGAAATAAAAAGGATTTGAAATGAAAACGTAAAGTAGAAAATGAAAAATGGGAAAATAAAGGTGAGAAACAAATCACGAAAAATCACAGAAACCGAGATAGGAAAAAAAAAGAAAAAAAAAACAGAACAAGAATAATCACAGTGGCTGAGAGGCAAATCACGGTAAAATGCATCGTTATGGAGAGTGGGGAGGAATTAATGTCGTAAACAAGGGAACCAGCATTCAAATGAGTGAAAATAGATTCCAGGGCATCAAAATAAGCTGATGTAACCGGCGCGGAAATAATTTTAACATTGTCAGAATTGAATTTACGCCCAAGATTCCAACAATGTGAAGCAATTGAATATATGTAACATTCAAGTCTCATATCTGGCAACATTCACGTCATTCATTTATTTGCATTCACTTCAGGCAAGTCTTGAAACAGGGTGCCTATTTTTGATGCGCTTGAAATAAGTTGACTGTTATTTCTTATTTGTTTATTTCTGAAGTTGAAGTTTTCAATCGGGTAATATCATACCGCTTCAGTTTCTAGGAATTATTTATTTCACAATATCGGGTGTTTCGTAGATAATACCCTTGATATATAGTTTCAGAACCTTTAAAACATGCTAAGATAAAATGCTGGGCTTATTAGTGGACACAAATTTTCATATTTTTATTATCAGAGCAGAAAGCTAATTCAGGAGGCATTTTTATCCTAATCTTTTATTCCTACGTGATGATACTTTACATCATAGTCTTAGTAAAACAATAGAACTATATGCATTACTTTAAAATTTATAATAATAATAAAACAATAATTTTTAAATCTAGTGATTTGAGCAGTACAGTCATTTCTGGCTCTAGTGCCAATAAACTTCGATCAACCAGCAAGCTCTATTTCTTTACTCACGTAGCTCTGTCCAACCATCTTGTTGTATGGTCAACTTTTTACTCTTGTTTCATTTATATTTGAAAATGATAACTATCTTCACATCGGAAGTCATAGTCCACACCATACTTACTTAAAAAAATATACTTGTACATAGATACTTGGTTGTATGTACAGTTCGAGAATTTTTTTTTTTTACCCTGAATGACTTTTGATCTAATTATCGGATCTTCACGTACTACGATTTTAATGGTTCGAGGGCGAGACTCTGATGACTTCAAACATGCTAATTAATTAGAGCAGGCTATATTTTAAGTTACGATATCAACTACAAAAACATACTTTCTTTGAATGAACATACCTTTTTTTCGACGGATTCGAATTTCTGACTCCCAAAATATAGGAGACGCAGGTCCTCATAGTTTGATCAGGAGAACGGATCAAAGCTAAGATGCTTTGATGTCAAATTTACTTTTTGCTTACTTCATTATACCTCAAAAGCTCTAAGCGAATTAAAAAATTTTTGCACACAATAATAAAGTTCATTTAGATAATTTCGTGTAAAAATTAACTTTTAGTGAATATTTATTATTATTTTTTTAAAAATATTATTTGAGCAATTTTTGAATAATAAGGTACATAATTTTTATTCAATTTTTTTCAGATCATTTTTTGGTAATTTTACATAGGAGAATGCAAAATTTGAGCGAAGTCGGCTGAATAGTTCTTGAGAAATTAAATTTTAAAAATACAATTTTTTGTTTTAAAATTTGATTTCTTTGGAAAATATTTGTTAATAAAAGTTATAAAAAAAGTTTTAATGATATTTAGGACAAAATAATTTATGTCATATTTAACGGAGTTTTTGTTTTGCTCTATTATAATTACGGATATATAAATATAATACACACTTATTACATACTATAATTATTTTAATTTGTTTTTAACTATTATACTGTTAATATTTTATTTATTTTCTCATTTTAACTAATTTTGTCTGATTTTTATTACAATAGAAAGTAACAATTGATGACAATGTCATCAAAAGTAACAACGTTATTCAAAATTTAAAGACTTAAAACTGAAAGTGAAACTTCTTATGTACTATGTGTTAATAAAATGAAGCATTTCAGCATCTTTCAATTAAAATAATTTCTATATTGATTTATAGTCAAAAAATTAATGCAATGGGGAGAATGAAATTAATGAAATATTGTGAATGATTCAAAGCAATGGTGTGAAAATCTCAACCGACAGCGAGCAAGGGACGAACACTCTATAATGTTTTAGAGCCATAAGAAACCTGACGATTTCTCTTTTCGCTCAAAACTATTTTCTAGTACATATTTTAGACAAAAGAAAGACTTCCTCTTTCTTTCACGAAAATTATCTTACCAGCACTTAAGTATCATTATCTTTCTGTTGTCACGAAATTAACTCTAATAGTCAAATTTACTTAATTGAAACTACTGAGTTCACCAAAATAGTATACTCTATAACAAATCTTTTTATAACAAATAAACCAGAGATTTTGTTTTGATAAAAGTATACTTTTTGTTATCTAACCTGATAATACCATAGATATGAATCATAATGAATTATATTACTGAGAAAACTCATAAAATTCTTTAAGGAAAATCGATCTTAAATTTAGGAATTAAGCATACTTTTGGTTTGCCTAATCTTATTCGTTTCATTAATATCTTGTTAAAGCTTATTATTTACTTTTATTTACCCTTCCCTTTATCAAAAATAGATATTTTACCGATACAATCCGTACTTACTTCAGTAGATAGGATTTAGACTTAATAAGTAACCATCAACAGGCTTTACATTGATTCTTGTTTTTGTTCACAGACTCTGAATTCTCCCGAAGGGTTTTTGTTTACTTTTTCCTTTAAATTACATTTAAGAAGCATAACCGATGAAGTCAAAGAATAATAAGACAATAGGCATAAAAGCAATAAGTAAGGATTATTTTTTTCTTCAAAACTAATTGTTTTAATAAAATTTTTCATGTTCGGTTCTTAACTGTTCAGTTGTTTTGATAGTATCTTTTTGTTGGGATCGGATATACGACTACGCATTGTAGAAACAAGAGGTATTGGTAGGTAATGTACATTAGTTTACAAGCTTTATCTTTATTTATTTGCTTGTTTCTTTTATATAAATATTTTCAAAATTTATTATTTAGTTTTAATAGTCTTAGTTTTAATAATTATTTAGTTTTAATATATTATGATCATGTAATGGTATAAGAAAAATTATTTACTCGGTTTTAATATTAAATTAATTAGTGTTTTCTTTTAGTTAATTCAAGGTACGAAATTTTCAGTTCTGCTTTGAAAGTTTATTTAACAGAAATAATATAAAATACTCCCACATTTTAAATTATGTTAAATAGCTATTCTCTCTTTTAATTATTTTTATTCTTATTTTTAAATTTCTTTAAAATGTATTTTCTAATTTTGTAGATGTGCAAAAACTTCGTATTATTTTAAAAATGAAAATGCTTTCAATTATTGAAATTTTTCAAGGGATAAATCATAGGTTTATTTTGAAACAATAACAAGCCATTTTAAATTAAGAAATTATTTTATCAGCAATAATGAGAGAAGTAACTTTTTTAATAACGTTAAATGACGAATTCAAGAAAGAAGTTAAGATATTTTTGTAATATTTGTGTTAAATTGGCCTGCGACAAGAATAAAAATAAAAGAAAAAAACATAATAAAATAATAAGATACTAGAACTAAAACTGCATATTTAAATTTGCAGACTCTTTCTTAAATCTGTATATCAAAATACATATCTGTTCCTTTCTTTCTTCTTCCTTTTAGATTTAAAAAAAAAAAGAATTTTTTACACGTAAAAATTTTTCTTGTTTTCATAATAAAGGGTTTATTGCAAAACAAGCTACAAATTTTCAAATTAGTTTGGAAATTGATTCAATAGAAATAATGCATAACGAAACTTATTATTATATATTTATATATTGCTTTAAAATGAAAGTATATTAAATTTTTGAGCATTATTTTCAATTCTAGTTTAATATTCTCTAATAATCAACATAAAAGCGATTCTTTAGATGTTGTGTTATTCACGAGCTGTAAAATATGATTAAGAAACATTCATTTTTAAATACCATTTTTCTATAAAATTTATACCCTAAACACAGGGTTGATAATTAGGAAATAGATTTCAGTGCGAACTTTAAATGATGAAGCCATTTATTATGAGTTAATTAAAATAGCACTATTGAATTTTTTAAACTCTTTGTTGGATAAATTCCTCCAAAATAAATTTATGCATAGTAAAAACATTCAGCAGAAAGGAACAGTAGACAGAAATAAATTAAGGGACAGATTTTTTCTAATAAAACGTTAAAATATAAATAGTTTAATGAAAAATGAGATATACATTCTTAGTAGTTTTCACATTAGGCAACACATATATTTAATTTAAATATCATATAGTAGTTAAAAATTTATTTAAAATGTCTGAGAAATGTTAGAGATGTAATGTTGAGATTGTTGATTTTAGAGATAGGGTTAGAGACAGGGGCTGAAAGGGAAATTTTGCGAATTCAACTTGAGGTATGTCAGTCATAATAATTATTAGTCAGATATAATAATTAATTTATCAATTTTAAAATATATAATTGTAATGCTTGAAAAGTTTCAAACGAAAAATTCACTGTGAGGGAAAAAAAAAGGCAAAAGATACTAATACCACACTTTCTGAAGAATGACCCATACACTATAATCCTACTAAGTACATTTATGATTCGAATACTGAATACGAGTTATTATAAAATATAGTAGAAGGGTTCAATGTTAGACTGATACATAAAATTTCATAATTTTTCGTAATTCGTCTAAATTTTTCAATGTGAACTGTAAAATTTGGATAAAAGTCATAATTTTTTCAGTTCACTCTGAAAAAAAAAGTATGGTCAAGGCTGACAGAATATTATTATATTTATCTTGCCACTGGCTCTATGGAAACACCCAAAAATTCGGTATTTTTTTGCCGAAGTGAAAAAAACGCAAGGCTAATGATTTTAGTGAAATTAACAATAAAACATGGTGGTAAAATTTGGTAATTTTATCATACCTAAGAGCATGGGATAAAAATACGTCACTCGATTAAATTTACTATTTAGCTCTGTATTTTTTTAAGCTAAATTTGTGTTTATAAGAACTATAATATTAAAAACCAGAATTTCTGATAAACAGTTACCATATGAACGGAAAAATTACCAAATGAATGGTTTAAATACCGTATATTTTGGTTTCATTAACCAAGAATATGTTTTTTTTTTATTATTTTTTTTATTATTATAAATATCAATGTTATATCACTGTAATTTTACCGGGATTTTTTTCTCCATGCTTTTTGGAAAAATATTAGTGCATACATTAACTTAATGAGCATGGTTTTGCATTAGAAGTTTTAGTGTTTAACCATGACAAGCTGCAAATTTTCTGTTCATATAGGAAAAACTCTGAGGATACGTGGAAAAATGTTGAGATTTTTTAAAAACAGAAATGTATTAATTTCTTTTTTTAATTCATTTTATCTAATTTCTTTTGTTGAAAATTTTCGTATTAGCTCTTTTTAATTTCAGATTACCATTTTTAAACATTTTGAAAAATGTCTAAAAAAATTCTTCGAAATTTAATTTATTAATTTCTTTTTAATTAATATCCTAAAAATTTAAGTATTATTGAAAATTTGTTATTATAATATTCGGTCAAGTCCTTGCGCATTCTCAGAAAAATCGGCACATTATTAATATTAGCTTATTGATCCATAATTCTGAAACCTTATTAAGAAATTAAATTGAATCATATGTTTTCTTTCAAGTTGAACCGTAGTATCGTGTAGTCAAGTTCAAGAAGTGCAATAATATTATTCAATTTTGCACCTTATTACACTGTTAGAATTTTCATTCTAAAATCACTGTATAATAACCTGCAACAGTCTGTCCATTTAATTAACCGTAAAGGTTAAAATTTTCTACCTTTACCATTTTGAAATCGTTTTTTAGAGATATGATTTAAAACTGGTATCGTCAAAAAACTATGTTTTTATAGCCATAAATAAATAAAAATTATAAAAATTTTTATAACAATTTAAAGCTAGCACGATCACGATATCTAAACTTTAAAATGAGATTTAACTGGACATTGCTGCACTTTTTAAACTTATTTATTCTTCTTAACCGTATGTTAGACTATTTTATAGGCAACGGACTTTGGAGTTAGATTAGGCTTTTCGTTTGGTAATAAGCATTGGAATTAGGTTTTGGTTGAGTTGTGCTTTGTCACATAAACCGTGGAATGTGGCTTAATCAATTTATTTGGTGGCGCCATCAATCGTGAGACGTGGAAAACGATAGATTTTTTTCTGTATTAAGCAGCTGTCTGATGTTGCCATTTATGCGTGAAAGAGAATTCTGTATTCCAATGGCCAGGGTCAACGATTGGAAAATGCAGAATAACAAAAACTCTTCATATGTTGAAAGAACAGAAAAAATGTTGTGTCAACGCGGGAATTCGATCTCCCGTTCAGCTAGCCAAGAAATTGACAGGTTAGCTCTCTCGGCTGTGGCATGCACCGAGCTGCAAGGAGCTAAATAGTTTAATAAGGTGAGTCAAAATGGTACGGATAAAATTCCGGTTATTTAACCATATTAGAAAAAATAAGTCCAGTCAAGATAGCCTGGTTGGTATGGCGTTAGACTCCCGTTCGTGAGAACGGGAGTTCGAATCCAGCCGGCCGAAGACTTCTCGTGTAGTAAATGGTGACTGATGCACTGTAAGTCTATTGGGTCACAAAGTCCTCCATGTACCCATAACAAATCAATACATCTGGGGGTACTGAATTGGAGATCGTTCTCTGGTTCAGGTCAAAATTACGATCTGTGGATGAATGAATAGATGCATGAATGGGTCAGCGTTATGAACAGGTGTGACGTATAGGTGTGGCAGAAGTTGAATTTCGGGCCATAGATGGAGCCACTTGAAAACAAGAACAATCGCACACCTTGCCTTAATGACCTACGACAGCAACAACAACTGATAAAAACAGTCAATAACCGATTTTTCTCACAGTTAACAGTTTAAAAACCATTTTTTTAAACGATTATTTTTCTTCATTATTGTAAAATAAAAATGAAATAAATAGTCATTTAGCCATTTTTACCGAAATTTTTCTAACAGTGTATGGTTGCATTAAATTCGAACGATATTATGGTTCCAAGCGTTGCAACAGTGTGTAAACACCATCTGTAAATGCAGTTTTCAGTTGCCGACATTATCAAATTCACTTGAACAGATTTTTCAACAGATGAGTTAGACGAGCAGACAGGCTCTTAATGTAGGAATTCTGATATTCAGTAACACTGAGAATATTTTAATAATCCTCAATTCATCTTAAAATAAAAAGGGACTTTTCAATATCTTTAATTACTTGCTTGTATGTTTCGCATTTTTAAATCTCTGACAAATATATTCTCCGTCTCTCAATTTTTGTTAAACGTTTTAGATGCCTTTTCTATGACAAATTGGTCAGGTGCTAACAAACTAAACTTCAATGTTACAGCTAATGTTAAATTAAGGGAATAAGGGGAGCTTACAAATCTTGAGAATTTGCAAGTGTCTGTTTGCTTGAAGGCTCTTATCACGGATTTTTCTGCTCACTTGATAAGAGGATTTACTGTAGTTTTGGATTTAGAAGACGTTTCGACTAGGAAAATCAAAAATTTCAAGCAAAGCTTTTAATTTTAAACAATGCAAAGAACTTAAATATTACTGTCACGAACTACAAAACCCAAGTGAGATTTCTTTGAGGGGATGGTAAATATAAGGCACAAGTCACTATGAGGTGACCTACCCTTGAGATGAATTTGGGGGTGAATTCGTATGATGCATGCTATGCTGCTATATATTTTTTTTTTTTATCTCTTGCATACCCTTTTGAAAATTGTAGAGCATGTTCAACTATATTAGAAAGATTTTGCGAAGCGTTTCTTATGTTAACTGTAACGCCAATTGTAATTTGCCGGGAAATTTTCGCGTATACGCTGTAAAATTTAAATAGCGTTAGAGTTAAGAGAACTCGTACTGCTTAGCAAAATCTCCCTAATGTGGTTTGTGTTTTTGTAAAATTAATATGGTGCTATGTTAGACAATAATACCATTCTTAAACTGTGAAACACAACATTATGGTTCAATTTGAACCTACAGGTGGCTCAATTTGACACCTTATTATGGTTGCAGCAGTTTAATTATGATTCAAAGTAATGATATTATGGTTCCTCATTGAGCCAATTTTTCGGATGCATATGCATTGTGTATATCAAAAATTGTATTTCGTTTTGACCTATTTTAGGCGAAATGACAATCTAAATGTCAACTATTCGCATGACGAAGGTGATTGTGAAAGCGTTGAAGAATTGGTTGGTTATGAGTGCAATTGTCTTTCAGTTTATCTGTTTCATCATAAAAAGATAAATGATTTGGCGTTGCATTTATTTTAAAGTAGTCATTTCAGATATGAATTACCTTTCATCATAAAATTAAAAATATCATAAGCTTTAATTACGAACTTTGTTATTATTATTGTATGACACATACATGTTCATGAAAGTACCTTTCTCATTTCAGCTACAATGTGGCACAACAAAATTCGCCGTTTAATCTCTGCAACTTGTGTGGCAGTTCTTTTAATATCTAACAATGCTGATGCATCGCCATTTGGAGGCCTACGTGCTGGAAATATAGGTGACTTACTCACACCTATTGTAATTGGTGCGATCTTAGGTGGAGCTCGTCACAGATTAAAGGCGCAGAAAGAACAAGATGGAGCAAATCAACAGCCATTGCCAAGCGCCCAACATCATCACCCATATTACACGCCCTTGCCTTGGTATCCAAATCCATTTCAACAGCACCCTTTATTGCAAGCGCAAGCATCATTCATGTTGCCAGCCATCCACCATGAGGAAATGATTCATCCTCAAGCTCCCTTTTACCCTGACATGTCATCCTTACTTCTGCAATTAAATCGGGAGCAAGCTTACCCCCCTATGGCTTCCCATATGGCACCAACAAGTAAGATTTAATGAAATAAAACGGTGTTTAAAATAAATATTAGATAGGATGTAAATATTAAAAAAAAGAAATTGTTTTGTATTAAAAAAGGTTCCTTTTCAAAGCGTGATAGCCTGAAATATTCAGTAGCGATAGCAGCGCCGCCTTTTCTAATCTTCAAATTAATCTGAGAAGAGTGCACCACATATTACGCATAACTAACAAGTTCATTGAAAGCTTTATGAATGAATGTTAAGTAATGTCTAGATGAAAGTGCCCAGAACAGAACAATGCGAGCAGATTGATTTATAGCAACAAAAGGTGCACGCAACGCTAACATTTATCACTAAATGCTTACTGTTATATGGAGAACAGTTTCTAGAATAATTTATGTAGGGTGTGAACAACTGGGCTAAAAGTTTTCGTGAAGAGGATATTAGATAAGCAAACGTCACGATCTCCCATGAATCCATTGCAGATCTATACTTTGTTTGGCGAGAATTGAGAGCGAAGATAAACAAAAAAAAACCATCAAATGTGTCATTACTTTCAGCTGATTGGTGCAAAGGTAATGGCAAACAGTGCTAATCTAACTAGTGGCCAATACGAATATAATCGCTAACTCAGCGAGGAATCAGATACTGTTGACAACAAACAGCAAACCATTATGTTTACTTCTGCAGCACTTAGTTTGGAACGAGTAAAGGAATTGGGGAATTTTCTGCCACCAAAAAATTTTATGACTTCGCTTTGTTTTGTTCCGAGCGTATTCCTCTTAGCTCAACTTTACATTCTCTTTAAATGATTTCCTGCGATCTGGTTAATTAGTACAGTAGTACTTAGTCATTGGTTTAGTTATCCTCCTTAACCCTGATTGGCAGCCTGCTATTGTTATTGAATTTCTAGTGTTATCACACTTGTTCATCAGAAGTGAATTTAATATTTTTTCGGACGATTTCGTTTATGTATAACCTTACTTGATTACAGTTTCAAAACACACGATAGAGTTACAAAGAATTCCGTAATGATTGCTCTCTCGTAATATTCTAGTATCTTAATCGAAAAGGAAGCAAAAGGCTAAAGCACCTTAGTCGCATATTAATTTTCAAGTGAGGAATAAACATAAACTCTATTGAAATCCACTGGATTACTAGAGAGTAGGATGGGGTGAAAAAACACCTGAATCAGATTGATTTCCAGATGGAAATTGTGATTGTAATGGTAGATTTTCAACTTCTCTCTGCTTACTCCGTCAATGAAATAGGATTTAATATTCCGTAGCTCACCTTCCTCAATAGTGATTTAACAGTCTTTTAATATCACACATAAATATCAATTTGAAGTGTTTAAAAAGCATCAATTTTGTTTTTTACCACTTATGTAATTAATGAGAATAAGTAAATTGAGAGTCATCGCGGACGTTATTTGAGAAGCAGACATAGAATAGAAGTTACGTAACGATAAAAAAATTTCCTGTTGCTTTGAAACAATTTTTAAGTAGAGTTCAATAGCATTGTAAAGGAACTAAGTTCATAGTTCATGTGATTTAGTTTCGAAGTTTCTCTAAAGATAGAAATTCATTATCTGTTCTAAAAATACAGAAAGCAATCCCTACAGGATGTCTTGCTGTCCTCTTCTGACGTCATAGCAGAACCTGACTATTTCTTTCCCCCCCCCAGTCTTATACTTATACTTATGTAATACATTATACTTACATAATACATTATACTTATGTTCCCCCCCCCAGTCTTATACTTATACTTATGTAATACATTACTCTATGGAATTCGGCGTGATAGGTCTTAAAGAAATTTAAGCATCTTAAATTCAGATAAGAAATTAGTGCTTCATATTTTCTCTTCTTATTGTTGTAGTTGTGTAAAAATCCCGATTCCTTTTGTATTTTTTTTTCAAATTTTTTCGTTTATCTTCATAGTTTTTGATCGCAACGCATTGCAAGGACTTAATGGAATGGATTTTCCAGCTCTAGAGAGTTTACAGTCTTGGCAAAGGGGGCCGAACGTGAACTTGCCAAATAACCCTATGGATTTGGCTGATTTGTTAGATAGTATAGATAATATTGGAAATCAACAATGAAATGGAATGCTCAACAGAGGAATATCAAGCCATGTAAATATTTTTAGTACAAATGTAAACAAAATGTGATATTATGATTATATTAATAAATATTCAAAAGTAAATTTTCCAGTATTTAATTTGGTTTAGAATGGATAATTATAAAAATAAACACTTTGAGTTTATACATTTTGCTTTTACTGCAGAAAAAATTATTTCGGTAAGAAAAATGGATACATAAGAATATATTTTAAGAGGCTCTTGTAACATTAAAAAGAACTAAATACATAAATGTAAAGTGTCTGTAAAAATGCAAGAAATATATATATTCACAGGTAAATCAGTGGTTTTTCAGAAATAAAGTAAGTTTCACAAAATATAGGTTCTTGGACATTAAGTCTCTTCCAGCTCTTTAATCTGCTAGAAATATTCCATTAGAGTGGATCCGAACTATTGAAACATGATAGGAGAAAGTGCAATCCGATCAGGCTTCCAATTTTCAGGGCGAGGAATCGTTGACTACCATACTGACTGGGTGGCTGTTTACTTATTAAATATATTACAATGCATTGAAATATCAGACAGAAAGTTCTTCCAGGGTAATGAACAGAAAAGAAAAGGCATTTTCGGTTGCTCTGTTGATGAGAAACTCGTATTCAGTACTGCAGTCACGAAGTTAGAGTGGAGGTAGAACACATCACAAGGCTTCAGAACTGCGCAACGTGCCGTGTCCCAAAATTTCATTATAAGTCATTAGGGCGCCTCCCTCTTATGAAATAGTTGCTCATGAGCATTTGAAACAGTACTTTTATTTTTATGAATCATCTAGATTTTTTATTGATTTGACGTTTTCTAGAAACTATTATTAACATTCCATTTAAATGGTCCCAGATATAGCAATTTTACGTTAAGCAATGACTTGGCAGGTGCCATCTCAATTTCGCCAAGTTGATTATTAAGGAGACGCACCTGCCAGGATACGATGGAATTTTCAGGTATGATGTAACATGCAATTCTCCTCGCTCCTCATGATGTGCCAACCTTCTCATTAAGTTTGTAACTGTTGTACTAAACTACTATTAATATGTATTGGAACAAGAACTGACGTAATTTAAGAGAGATTCTTGCATTTCTCTTTGTTTTTACAGAATTATATTACACGAAGTTAGCTTCATTTTAAAAGAACATTATTGCCTGTTAAGGGTGATCTACTTTATGAACTTGTTTCTTTAATCGGAATTTTTATTCTCGTTTTTAAAGGGGAAAATTTAAACAACGTTTTGAAATATGAGATTTAAAAAGAAAAGATTCAATTTACTTTCTCTGAAATTTGTATTTTAAATAACATATGTCCTCTCAAAAAATCCTAAATAAACAAAACATTTTGTATACATTATTATCTAACAATAAAAATAATAATCATAATTGCATAAAAAATCAATTTAATTTACAACGGGATACTCGTAAGGAATATCTTGCTTTCAACAGATATAAAAAAAAATCACAAATTTTTATTTTCGTTTTAAAGGAAAAAATTTAAAGAATGTCTTAAATATTAGATTAAATAAAGAGATTCAATTTCCTTTTTCATAAACTGGCATTTTCAATAACTTATGTCAGTAGAAAAAAAACCGAAATGAAATTTTTTTAAATATATTATTTCTTAACAAAAAAATAATCATAATTACACAGAAAAAAATTCATTTCGTTTGCAACGATCTCGTAAGGAATATCTTGCGTTCAATTAAGGTAAAAAAATTTCCAATATTTAAAAAAAATTTTTTTTTTCATTACTTTTTTAAAGTAATAAAATCCTCAAAATTTTAAGATTATTGGGTACTCTGTTAAGACATGTTCCCCCTAATGTGTTGTATGTTATCATCTTGTATTTATTATGTCAATTTTAAACAATAGTATTTGTGAAAATTAGGTATTCTAACAGTGTTTCTTTAAATCGATCTATAGCAACACCATTGTTCAATTAGTTTTAATCTTACATCGTTCAAAAAATTTAGAGAAAACAACTAATTGTTGCCACGCAACAAACTATGACGTACATTGTTTCGCAGTGGAACTCATAACTTCTGAAGTTTAAGTGCTATCTGTAGGTGATTATTTTGCAGTTGCTTAAACTATTTGCTAGAAAAATGGCTAATGTGGTGAGATTTTTGCGAAAAAAGCTGTATGTATCATATATTAGTAATACTATCTTACAGTAACATTAATTTAACTATTTTTTCCATAAAAATACATTTTACCTCGAATTGAAAAGCTTCGCTAGCTCCAACTTCAATTTTAAACTGAACCGTAAATAGTAATCCAATAAAATAGCTTAGTGTACTTTAATCAATCGTAATATTTCTTAATTTATAGTTCCTTATTTAACTNTATATATATATATATAGTTAGCTGACTACCACTACTCAACTTCATAGCCTTGTAATTTTGAACCCAATTCAGAAGTCAAGAAAACTCCTGGATCAAATAATATTAGGGATATTAGTGGAGAACTTTTTAATGAAGCTAACCCACATTTGCGTTACACGCAAAAGGAAACCACGAAACCCTCCCAGTTAGACTTACGGCAAAGGAACTCTAACCCATGATCTGTTTGCCAATTGCCGAAATTCAAAACCGGCTCAGCTCATTGGAAGGTGAACACTCTGTCCCCTGAGCCATCACGGCGCATCTCTAGAATTTATATAAAATCATTTGTTAGTCAAAGGTAAATGTTGTGGTAAATACAGTGTTTTCATTTTTAGTGCAAAAGTTTTTAGGAAGGGTGAGAATTCTGATGAGAATTATTTTGAAATAAGAGATTGGAACGAAGTTCTGAGGGAACAAATGGCAAGTGAGTTGGAAATTGCAGAGTTTAAAAATGCTCGAAATGATGAGAAAGAGTCAACCAAGATTTATGATGAAAAGTTTGATTTAAGAGATTGGAATGATATTCTCAAAGAGCAAATGATGGCTGGATTGATGGAGTCTAAGATTACTCCTAAGGATGATACTCCTGATGATGCACTTGTTGCTTATAATAAGGAGGTAAAGAATGCTCATATGCATGGGGCAATTGATGAGCTTGATAACATTGATACTCTGGAAGAGTTGTTACACTGGCTGATACGCTGGTAAAGACTCGAAAAGGACTTTATAGACTTTCAAAGATCAGTGGATGAGCGGAAGACAATAGAAACGCTCGTAAAAATTCGAAAAAAGTCTTTCAAAGAACAGTTGATGAGCTGGATATAATTGACACGCTAGAAAAAATTCGAAAAAGACTTTCTAAGGACAGTTAATTAGTCACTCGATGGCGCATAGTTATGTCACTTTTGATATATGTGTCAAACAAAACGCCTAAAGATGATTAAGATAACATTTAAATTGCTTCTGTTATATATGTTATAGAAATAGCTCATATATCTGTTTAAATAAATAATTTATTAAGCCTTATTTCTCATATCCTTTTTCTCTAACATATTACAGATTTTAAATATAAGTGTGATTATTGGCTGTTCTTCGAAGGCTCTGATGTTCTAAGAAATAAAATTTTTTTAGACAATAAATAGCTAATTGTAAAACTGTAGTCTTAGGTAAGATTTATTCAATGTCGTGTTAAGTTTTGTTCCTCTTTAACCTGCGTCCTTATTGAAATGCCGCAAATACCAACATCTAGTAAAGCCTAAAATTTTTTAAAAAGAAAAATTCGAAAAATTAATGTTTGTTTACTTTGTTCTTATTCTCAAGCCCGTCAATTCTTTTCTGCAACATCATATACATATACGGATGTTTCAACCCCAAGGAGATAAATTTTAAAACCTAATAAAAGAAAAAAAAGGGGGGGGGAAAGAAACTTAAATTAATTAAATAATTGTAAAATACTATATAATTAAAGTAATTGATAAAAAAAAATTATTAACACACAAATTAAAAAGAAATTAATCACCTTCAATTCTACGATGCAATAATTTTGACTGATGTTTTTTGAATCACCCTATATATCAATGTGGCTTTTAAGTAGAAACGCCAGTTAAGTTAAAACGTCAGTGATCACCTTTTTCATATTTTTATGCTTTAGTGTTACATGGTGAGACAACCACAAAAATCTCATTGGGGCAGAACAATGACAAGGAGATTCTAAACCCATGATCCACTATCACTGCGGATAATTTGCATTACTACTATGATATGTGCGAGTCGGGGGCAGAATTCGAATCTTCCAGTCGTGATTGATATTCGATCGCACTTCAGTTGCATTATTAGAAAGTGAGAGCCTTCTCTCTCTTCTCACAAAATGAAATGGTTTTGGATTATTTTTAAGATATTCTTCACCCTTATTGAGATCTCGAAAATGATTTGACTGAGTTTAAAAATATTTGTGTTTTTCATTCGAATATAATGCGTTTTTTATTTTTTATCTACTGTCAACAATGATGTATAGTGTCTGAAATTTTACCTCCATTCCTCAGGTCTATCTCGACAGCGACAAAGATTAATTGCATTATTATAATTATGCGTCGATTATTCTCGGATGCCTTTTTTCTACACCTGAAGAAATAGCTGGCTCCCACTATTTTTCACAGAGTTAGCAAATAAACAAAAGCTGTAATCTATGCAAGAGTGAGCTACTATACTATTTTGCCTCATTCTATGGTTTGCCTTGATAAGGCATTACATATCATCTTGGACCACAGCCTCATGATTTGAATACTGCTCTGAAATTGTGACCCACTCACTGCCACACGGCCTCTCAATCTCTTGAAACGTTTATGACTGACAACGAATTCTCATTCATTGGAGGGAAAGAGTGAGTGGGCCACAACATAAAGCTTCCTAACTCACCTTAGACTGGGATGCACACCCCTTTCTATAGTGGTTAGAGGATCTTCTTGCGGCCCTAGAGGCCCTTGGTTTGAATCCTACCGGAAGCCATCAAAAACATTTCTCCTTCCACAAATTCTTTTTTTCTTACTTCCTTTCAATATTTTTTGTTTCAAAAATATTTCGTTTAATAAAATAAGACTGACGAAATAAAGAAGAAATAGGTAAATAGATCAGAAGGTAGAAATAGATTAAAATATCATTACTGTTAGGCTAATAGTGTGAAAATAAAAATAAAAGCTCTTCGTTATTTGAAATTTACAAATAGAATAGTTTGTTCTTAGAGGATGATAAAAAAATGTACTTTTTGATTCACTTGCCCATTGAGAATGATCGTACACGGACTGGTTATCATTTTTGTCTGACATTTATATGTATAGATTTAAATAAGAGCTCGAGTCCTAGAATATTTGAAATTTAAATGTGACGTGATACATAATGATTTAAACTTTAGAAGGAATTCAAAAACATATTGATAATTGATGGACAATCTACTTGGTTAATTTAATACTAATTAATATTAAAAATAACACTAAACTGATAAATAAGTAAGAATGACGATCAAAATGGGCAACAGGCAGCGTAGAGCAGAAATCTCAACCTATGGCAACTCTTCGCATGCTTTTAACATTAGCGTGTGGAGAGTCCCAGGAGAAAGAAGTACATTAGTTTCTGTCTTGCTTTTCAAATAGATTAAAAACATTTAAGTTAGGAAAATATAAAGTATTTAAAACTACATTGAACATAGTTCTAAAAGGAAGCGTCGTGGAAATGTTAAAATTTATTTTTGACGAATAAATACGAAAAATATTAAGTTGTTGTTGTTAATTTACGTCTCAATGGGCTGCACAATGGGCTATTGGCGACGGTCTGGGAAACATCCCGGAGGATGATCTGAAAATATGCCATCACAATTTTGATCTTCTGCAGAAGGAATGGCACCCCCTCTTTGGTAGCCCGACGACCTGCACGCGAAGTCGAGCACTTTACGGTTAGCCGAATTTTNCCTCGGTCTCTACGCAGATTGATCCAAGTGGTCACCCACTCGCACACTGACAGCAGCCAGTGATGCTTGACTTCGATGATCTGCTGGGAGCCGTGTCTTAACGATCAGTCCAATGCGGGACGAAAATATTAAGAAAGGAGAAAATATCATGGTACATTCCTATACAACTGAGAAGAGGAGGAGCGGGAAAGGGGGAGGGGTGAAACTTTGAACTGGTGATCTCTCCAGAAAAAAATGCGCGAAAAAAGTTTTTTGTTACATGAGAAACAGATGTTTTAAACAACTGAATAAGCAAATATCCTTTCATAGGTTTAAATTATCAAAATATTCATAGGCTTTCAAAATGGGCTACAGATGGCGCAGAGCGAACTTTTTACCTATGGCAATACTTCGCATGCTTTCACCATTGGCGTGTGGAGAGTCATAAAAAAAGGAAGTTAGTCATTTTCGCTCTTGATTTTTAAATAAATCAAAAACTTTTAAGTTAAAAAGCAATATGGGACTCAAAACTGCATTGAAAATAGTTCTGAAAGAAGACATCAGATAAATTTTAAAAAAATATTTGTGACAATTAAATGCAAAAAAAACATTAAGAAAGGGGAACAACTCATGGAACCGGTCTTTCCCCCAGATGGCGTATTTCAGACTTACGATCACGGATAGGAGAAGGAAACACGTTCGTTTCTGTCTTGATTTTTAATGGATAAATTTTTTTTTAGTTAGAATACTGTAAAGAACTGAAAACTGCATTACATAATTTTAAAAGAAAGCATCGTGGAAATATTAGAAAATATTTTTGACAATTAAATGCGAAAAATATTATGGAAGGAAATTTTTTTTAGTACATTTGCATACAACTGAGCAGAGGAAAAGGGAGCAGAGAAAAGTCAAGAAATAGAACCGTTCTTCCCCACTCAGATGGAGTATAGCTGGTTGACTGAATGTAAACAATAACAAGCTTCCTAAAACCGAAGAAATTTTGAAAACCTCAAGTTTATTCCTCCGCTTATGTTATGCCTACGAGGCGATACGAGAACAGGCTTAATATTCTAGGATGTTTTATTATTGTAATTTGTGATTAAATTTAAGCATAATTTTAACATTCATAAGAGTTACCAGTATTTTACAAATTTTAACTAGCTGTAAGCCTAAAACAAATTTAAAATCAATATCAAACCATAAATGAAGTGTAAGGTTAGCCGTGTTTTCAGTGTTATCCTTTATTTGGCTGTAATTGCAAAAAATAGTGCCGTTTGTTTTATTTTTGGTCAGCATCACAGCAAGCTTGCGGAGTCTTCCGAATTCATTTGTGTTTGTTTCGTCAAAATTTAAATCGAAAGAATACGTTATATTGCAAACCCTTTTGGTATAATAATATTGGATGGCGTGATTTTTCAAATTTAGGCGTGAAAATCAATCAGAAGTAGTTGACCGGAAGTCTTGCGACGAATTTTAACCTCTAGCGCCATCTCCGCTTAGCTTTACACGGTCAACCATCCATTCCAGCGTTGCGATCTCGAACAAATCCTAAACTAAGTAAAATCGAAACCTCTTTCATTTAAATTATAAGAGATGTTTAACTGAGGTCACTTTATTTACTTTCCCAATGAAAATGGGGTATAATATGAAAAAAAACACAACTACTTTTACTTACTAGGAATAACATTTACCTTTTAGTTTAATTAATAAGCTGAGTTCTAAATATGTTTACTAAATTCATATTTCAAAAGGAACTAGACTAATACAATTCCAACCTGCCGAGTAGCGACTTATAACAACACACTTCATGTAATGTTTATTTGTTACTAAAAATCAGGTTCGCAGAAAAAGCTGTTTTTTAGTTAAATTTAGTAGGAATAACACATCCTCCGACGTAGGCTATAGTATACCCAATTCATCAATGATCCATGAGTTGCTAGTAGCAATCAATAGGAAAATGGCCACATAGGATATCAATCTCAAAATTTTATCAATTGATTGGTATGCAGATATTTCATTTACGTCACGTTAGAGCTGCACAATTAGCAATCGGCGACGGTCTGGGAAACATTTCTGAGGATGATCCGAAGACATGTCATCACAATTTTGTTCCTCGTCAGAGGGGATGGCTCCCCCGCTTTGGTAGCCCAACGACCTGCACGCGAAGTCTAGCCCTTTACGGTAGAACAGTTTAACGAGGACCGGTACCTTTCACCCTTGGTCCAAAAGCAGGCTGATCAAAGCTGTTACACACCCTCTTACTGACCGCAGACAGTGATGCTTGACTTTGTTCTACTGGGAACCACGTCCTTACGATAAGGGAAGGCAATTGATTGATTTAACACTAATCAAGAGCTAATCTGAATAATCTCTGGGCTTTCAGAAATCGCCAGCGTTGCGATTACCAATTTGGAGATCGCAACGCTCGAATACGCCATCTAAGGAGAGATCGGTTTCATGCCTTTGGCCCTTCTCAATTCCCTCTTCTCCTCATTTCAGTTGTATAGGAATGTACTACGATATTCTCCCTTTTCTTAATATTTTTCCTCTTTATTTTATAAAAATATGTTTTAAAATTTCCGTGATGTTTTTCTTTAGAACTATGTTTAATGTAGTTTTCAGTTCCATACAGTTTTCCAACTATGTGGGGAAAACATGCGAAGTGTTGCCATAGGTAGAGAGTTCTGCTCTACGCCACCTTCAGCCCATTTCGATCGCCAATAACTATTCGACTGCGCAGGCGCTGCTTTCTGTGACAGAAATTATCCTGATGAAACATGTTTACTGTCTCAACAGCAACTGCCACTTCCACTATATCTGTAGAATTTTTTTTAAAGTTTCATTCATTCCGTTGTAGTTCGTAAAATGCAATCATATTATTCTTTGTAGCAAGGAAAAGGAAACAGATGGAAAATATTGAGTGCGGAAAGTGGAAAAGATTGAGCAGCACTCATCATATTTCTTTTTTGAAAACACATAGTGGAAAAAGTTCGCGCTTAAAATTTTATTTATATTAACTTTCCTTTTCGTCCGTATTCTTCTTTATTTCCTTTGTGTTATCGAGTTTTAATGAGCCATATGTATGCGGCCAATAAAAGAATTCATTTTATTTATAATTATAGTTTTTTAACTGACTTAAATTCTTTTAAAAAAATTCTTTTTTGCACAATTGAAAATGTTGGTCAATGATGAGGAACAAGCCAATGTTAATAATTTCTACAGTCCTTTGTGCAAAACTAAACCGTATTTAACCCCTGAACAAAGGAAAAAATTACGAGAAAAAAGGAAGATTGATATATCTCCTGTAACTGAAGATATTGATAAGTCAAGTCAGAATAAAAAAGTCAAGCGACTTTTTTCTCAGAAGCCGAAATCAAAGACAACTGGTCAAAAAGCATCTCAGAAAAAAGTGACTAAGGTTAGTCTGCCAGAAGTTTGCTGTACTGCTGCTACATGGGTACCCCAAAACAAGAAAACTTCCGGAAATAAGAAGTTTTTCAAATCTAGATCTCCTGGGCATTTGAAGAAAGCTAAATTCGTTTTAGAGTATAAAAAGTCACGCTTAGAATTTGGTGTTAGCTCTTCGAATATTTCTTCACCAAAATCTGTGCATAATGCCATGACTGAATCTGTTGAAAAAGAATTGAATGTGAGTGAAAAAGTGACTGAAAATCCACATATAGTGACAGTGGCTTCAATTGAGAACGAATTTAAGCAGTCAATTCGAGAAGAGACTGCTAAAGAGTTAGTTTTAGAGTCACCTCCTAAAGTTGTGTGTAATGAGAAAACTGTCTATGAAGTATTTCAATCTCCAGAAGCAGTTAAAACTGGAACTCTTGCATCTGATTCAGTATCCACTTCTCCTGTCAAGCAGGAAATTCAATCAACTACAAGTAATTTATCATTTAATATTTTATATGAAGTGTATAATTTTGGGGGAGATTTTTGTACCTCGATCTGTGGCAGAATAATTGCCATATCTCGGCAACTTGCAGGAAGTGGCCCACGAGAAACTATACAAGCATCACAGAAAGAGACCGCTTGAAAGGTATAACTTTTAGCCACCCCTGGCCAAACATCTACAGGTTTTTTTAAAAATGGCTTGGCGATTGTAGTTGGCACAACAGATCACGATATGGAAATATCCCCATATTTTGTATTACTTATTTGTTATTAGAGCCGCAGGTAAAATTTTTTGTATAATGGAAGTCAAAATAATTGCAGTTGCCCACAAAAAACTTTTTTTTTTAAAAGAAAAAAAGGATTCAAGGATCTAATCGTTCTGCAAGAACTCTGTAACATTCTGTGACAATGTCACCGGGCCACGGTGATTCTGCCACGGAATCAAAGACTATCAGTTTTTAAATATGTTTGATTTGTTTATAGCAAAATTTTTGTCGATAAGGCACAGTAGGTATAATTAACATTTTACAAAAAAAATTATGTTATGAAATTTTTTTAATTTAATTTGAATTTTATGCAATTATATTTATTAAAAGAGAAGATTTCCGTATTGGTAACTATGCCAAAGAGACCACCAAGGTTCAACAATAAATATTGAATATAACAATACTGTATTCATTTAAAACTTTACATTGAATAAGATAACATCATATTTATTATCGATAAAATGATGTGTCTAAATTTTAATATTGCAAATAGTAAAGTGATCATAATTACAAAGTATGATATTACTGTCTGCGTTGATAAATTTTATTTGGGTAACGTTTTGATTAATTTGAAAAAAACAACAACATACATTTGTTATATTGAAAAATTATTGTGATATTTGTAATTATTTATATATATATTGAGGTTTCTGTTGTATGGTTATGTCTCTTTTGACAAGTAATTAAATAGATGATCATGATCTAACATCACGTATAGACACATTTTAGTAACAACCTGACAAGATACAAAAACCAAAAACACAAGCACAAGTTACAGTTAACATAGCTGACGCCACACATATTTTTCAGTATTGGTGTCAAAGCTCATGCTGAGAACAACTTGAAAAGCAATTTCCAGCACTTGTTCCTTATAATCGACTGAAAATTAGTTAGAGAGTTAGAAACTACTTTTAGCTACTGAAGATACTTNAATTGAATTTGTGAAACTACCGTTTTTCCTAAAGTTGAATTTGTGAAGGTACCGCTAAACGGTAGTAAATTCGGCCTGGACAGACCCCTGCTTATAATCGACTGAAAATTAGTTAGAGAGTTTGAAACTACTTTTAGCTACTGAAGATACTTTTTAGCTTACATATCTATAGATTAGCAAACAAATTTCATTAAGGAACTGAAACTGATGGTAATTAAGTGATTTTAGAAATTAAAAATGACATTGTTTCTCCACTCAGGAATTTTTAAACCTTTTTAAGAAATTAAAAAAAAAAAATCTAATATTTTAAATAATTTGCAGTTACTATGATAATCAGTAATGCTGCAAGGTTTCTTCTACTAGCAATGCATGCGTAAATGATATTTTTAATGTGATTTAAATTTATATGCTATTTACTGTTGTAGTAATAGTAATTTGGGAAAACTTGTTTCTGAAGTTTTCTATTATCACAGTATCAAGATCAGTTATTTTATTCAAAAAATGCTGTGATGTAACTGAAAGTTAACAATATTTCTTATTGTTTCAGGTAAACCTAAGAATTATCCAATCTTTGATAAGGAAAATATAAAAAAGATAAAATGGGATACTTCTCCATATGAAAAGTAAGAATTTTTGTTAAAGCCAAATTTACTTGTTTATTTTAGAAATGAAGTTAACATAAATAAAGCATGATATTTCAGTAAATTTGTGCTTCTAATGCACAATTCTGCGGTAAAAATAAACAAAGGAAAAAAAGCATTTTGGAAGACATAAGAAATGTGCGAGTCCTTCATTCCATATGATAAATCAGGCTCTGAAGATATCTATTAATATTGTAGTTTGTTTTGCATGTAGGTTGATTTTATTGTTTTTCTTTCACAAATTGGGGATATGTTGAATGAAAAATTAAGAAAATACAGGTATTCTAAAAGAACCAAAATCTATTAAAAGCATCTTTCTCTCTATTCTCATATTCTCTGGAATATTATCCAGTAGAAAATTACCGAGAATTTTACATCTCTAATGATTAATGAAATTATTTAATGTGTGCGTTTTGTTCAAGACTTATATAAAACTAATCTTAATTTATTATTCGATTAACACTGTAGCTGAAATTTTTTTGTACATAGCCTCAAGAAAAGAAAAAAGAATTTTTTTCTTTTTAGAAATAGAAAGTACGTACAAAACTTGTACAGATCCTATTTAAATTCAAAATTCTTAGTGAAAAATAATGACGTTAATTTATTCACAAGAAATATTATGTATTGCATTTCTAATATTGTTAATTCAATTAAAAATCGTCCCTCATTTTGAGTGAAAAATCTCGTGCAAAGAGGAGGCAAGGTTTTACAGAAGGCGAAAATAACGTCGAACCTATTTGACAGGTTTGTAGGAGTTGTAAGGCTCCTGGAGAGAAAAAACTCTTCACTCCCTCAATGTGCCCTTGCTAGTGGAAACAAACTTACCCCACCTTCTGTATTCCTCTCGCTTCCCGCTTGCCTTCTCAGTGTGCGGCTGACCTAAGAATTTTCAGCACCTTTCCCAAAAAGAACACTGATAATCATCTTTACTTTGAAAATAAGACTGTCGAAAGAACAGAGCTTAATGCAAATTCATATCTAGCTATCTAAATTGATGTTGATTTTGATTATCTTGTATTATTAGGACTTTAATGCATTTGGCGCTTTCATTTTGGATTAACTTTATAAGGCTTTTTTTTTATCAATATTGAACTTATGTTGTTTGTCTTATTAATTTAATAAAGCAATTATTTCTGTACAATGCATACTTTGACAGAATAACAATAATTTTTTTGTTGTTGTTGATATTAGTCTGGGCATCAAATTTAAGGTATAGATCCAAGTATTTAGGATAAAATAATTGGTCTCTATTTTAATACTTAGCAAAATTTTTTTTTACTCCTTACAGGCCATACAGTTTTATTCTACTTTCTTTTGTAATTTATTCATTGCATTAATGTGCATAATATGCTTAAATTTAAGTTTTGTAATTTTTGTTTTAAGATAAAGATATAAGTTCTAATTTAATGTATTTTTTAAGGTTTTTAAATGAATCTTTTCGCACAAAAGACAAATCGAAAGGTGGCGAGCAACTGATTATAGATGCTGGGCAAAGAAAGATTGGAGCTATCATGTGTGGAACTTGCAACATGGTGTATACAATTGGTCACGAAGAAGATGAGAAGCTTCATTCTGAGAATCATGATATATATCTTCAATTAAAATTTCCAGTAAGTCGACTTCTTCTATAATTTCTTGTTATGCATTGTTTATTTTGTAGTTCAGAGGTATTTTTCACAAAATTCGTGCACGCCAGGAATATCAGTAAAACTGAAATATCAGGGAGAATGAGGTTCGAAAAGAAAGTTAGGGAAAATTGTAATTTTACCCTAACACCTGGAGTAGTCTGTAAATTTTCAACCCCATCAAATCTCATAAAAAAATTTAGTATTTTACACTTTTGTTTATAATTGTACTTAATAATATTAAAAAATAAGAAAATTGATTCCCTTACAGACGATTAATCGGTATGACATAGAGGTTCTTTTATGATAATTAGAGACAAGCTTTTTCAAAATTCGATCATCACATTCTAAGAAAAAGGTTTTAAAAACAGCGGTTGACTGTGATGGATTACAGATATATCTACGATTGACTCGTTATTACTTATTGCACCTCCCGTTGTTCGGTATCCAGCCACAGGTCTCTTGACTTTCAGATTGTTGGAAGAAAAAGTTGCGCATTGCCTTTTTTTTTAACTCTAAAGAAAATCTTGTTTCTTTTTTTCGCTTTTTTCTGCGCTGACAGCACTCGCCCTTTATAGTCACATCACTGTTTTATTTGTAGATCCATGCTTGAACTTTGGGTTTGTTCATTAATAATCTTTTTTTTTTATTTGGGTTTAAGGTCAATAACAGAATCACATATTATCATCTCCTATTTTTGATTTAATAAGGACAAAATTGAATAAAATTTCTAAATTTCTGAAGTTTGGGGACTGTACCCTAATTTCATATAGTATTTAAGTTTCTTTTTCTTACTGGATTTCTGATTTTCAGAAATTTCAGCACTAAGTTATTTTATGAAAAAAATTCAATTATTTAATTGAGATTTTAAAAAAAATATGTATATAGGAGCTTTTCACTTATTTAATATTTTGAGCATATGAAGCAACAAATCTTATTTAATTTTTTTATAATTATTTGATTAAAAAAATATTGATCCCAATTACTAATTTTAATAAAATATTGAATTTTGAAATTGGCCAGATAATGTTCTGTAATTCACTTAATAAAATTCACTATGTGAAAATTTATCAGTATGTCATTAACTAATTTACATATGTAATATGATTTTCCTCATTTATTAAATGGTGACTGATGCACATTAAATCTGTCGGGGTCACAGAGCTCTCCAAGTTCCCATAGCAAATGAATACCTTTGTGGGAGCTGTGGTGGCTCAGGGTATAGAGCGTTCGCCTTCTAATGAGGTGAACGAACCATATTCGAAACCCAGCAATGGCTGGTCGACAGGAGTTCTGCACTCGGCACAGTCTTGATGTAAAATATCCTCTGTGGTAGATAGACCGTGGGTTAGAGTCTCCTTCCCATCAGGCTAACCGTGAAAGGTTTTTGTGGTTTTCTTCTTCATGTAACTCAAGTGCTTGTGAGTTTCATCTAAAAGTCCTCCACGAAGACAAATTTCTCCCAATACTTGATCGAGGAGTTCCATTGTCTTCTGGAAAGTGTTCAAAATTACAAGGCTACGAAGTTGAACATTAGCAGTTATAATCCTAAAATTGGGTCTGCTGTTCAACGATGGTTATAAAATAAGATGCCTCTGGGGGTACAGAATTGGAGATTGATTGTTCTCTGGTTCAGATCAAAATTATGCTCTGGGGATGAATGAATGGGTCTGTGTAAAATGGGCTGTGAGGTGTGTGTGGCTGAAATCCTATTCTTTTCCATAGATGACACCACAGAAAAACAAGAAATTCACCCTCTGTCTTAAATTCGCATGGTTTCCCAAGCAGGCTTGCTGGCATTGGCAAGTAGCATTAGAAACAACATCAGCAGTAAATAATGTAGTATTTTCTTTTTTATTGTTATAATTATTTTAAAGGTATCACTACTACTATCTAAAGCATAACAAATTATCTTAATCACTGATTTTACATTAATGAATAATTTTAACTTTATTATTTTATTTTTTAGCAAATCAGATTATTTATTTCTTTAGTTTTAATCTTTTAAGAAGTTTTGACATTCGCATGTTGAATTTACTACTTGGTTACTATTTACTTGGCATTTTATTTCTTAAAATTTTTTTCTCTCTAATCTTTAAAGGTAATTTAACTTATAAGGTGCATTATTAATATAACTTTTGCTCTAGATTATAATAACTATAATTTTTTTTACTGCCTGGAATTTTCTATAAGTTGACCTGGAATAGTCGGGAAAAAAATTTCTTCTCTTCGAGTATGAACCCTGTTTAAAACAATTTTAAATTGTTATCAACCAATTAAAATGTTTCTTTGTTGATGTTTAGGGCTGGAAAGATGAGAGAGTGATTGGTAACTATGATGATGGCAGAGTAATTAAGATACTGAAAGAGGATAAACATTTTAAATTGAAAAAAGTTCAAGATATTCTGCTTCTCATTAATAGGTATTGGATTTCTTTTTATGAGAATGTTTTCTTAAAGTATTTCTTGTACTTATTTATTTGATTTTTTATTTCTGATTGTGCAAATACTGATTCCCATTCTGGGAGCAAAATTTTAGTTTTACATTTCTTATCAATTGTTATATCAATTTCCTTGAATTTTCATGTTGAAATAAGTAAAATAGTCCATGTTTGACACATTCCCTTTAATTTAACTGGAATCTGAACTCAAAACTTAAAATTTAAATGCAGCATTTTCTATAGGTATCAAGTAATTGCATTAAGAAGAAAATTTAATCTTTTTCAATGGCTCTATTTAGATTTCAGCACTTTAAAGTTGAGATTATGAGATATTTCAATTAACCAATCATGTTAAAGTAATTTAAAACTTTTATGTATATAACCTTTATTAAATAATAGTTACATAAACTTTTTTTAAACTAATAATGGCTTGCAAATAGACCAAAGAAAATGTGTACGATTAGTAATATTTTTTCGTTCCTGGTTTAGCGTTTGGTCTTCAAGCCAGTGACTAAATTCTTTTAATTTCTATCCTTGTTATATCTGCAGCATGCTCTATGTTTTTTTCCAAACTATATTGATTAGCCTATTTCATTTATGCTCAACTGTTTTTCTATCCAAACCAAACTATTAACATAAGTATCAAATGTTTAATTAATGTACACTCTATAACAAAAAAATCGACGCACCAAGAAGCAGTCATCCGATTGCTCTGAAATTTCGTATGCATGAATGTTTTGAAGAGATATGGCTGGAATGATGCCGACTGGGGACGTATAGTCTTTAGCGACGAATCCCGCTTCCAACTGTGTCCTGACGATCATCGAAGACGTGTTTGGAGACGCACAGGGCAGAGGGGGGATCCTGCCTTCACTATTGCACGCCACACCGGCCCTCAACAAGGCATTATGGTCTGGGGTGCTATTTCCTTTGACAGCCAGACACCTTTGGTCGTCATTAGAGGTACACTTACTGCACAGCGGTACGTCGACGACATCCTAAGACCTGTTTTGCTACCGTTCCTTTTACAGCGCCTTGGGTTGGTTTTTCAGCAGGACAATGCCAGACCACATACGGCACGTGTTGCTATGAACTGTCTACAAGCTTGTCAAATTCTTCCTTGACCTGCCAGATCACCAGATCTCTCTCCCATCAAGCATGTCTGGGATATGATGGAAAGGCAATTGCATCTGGCATGGAATGTTGATGACCTCGTTCGACAATTGGATCGAATTTGGCAGGAAATACCGCAAGAGACCATCCGGGAGCTTTATCGGTCTATGCCATGCCGTGTGGCAGCTTGTATCCAGGCTAGAGGCAGGTCAACACCTTATCAAACTTGTTACTGTAACTCTGCAATAAATTATTCAATTGTTTTGAAATTTGAATCATTTACTATTCTGTACATTGTCTTCATATCCACCAATTTTCGTTTCAATCGGACAACTCCCTCTTGGTGCTTCGATTTTTTTGTTATAGAGTGTAGTTAATAAGAATATTTGAAGCAAACTACAAACATGCTTCAAATAAAAAAACACTATCTGTCTAAGTATTTGACATTACAAGTGCAAAATTAATGAATGTTCTTGTAGCTTTTCTGAAGTACGAGTTCATTCATAATTGCAAATTATACATAAAATCCCAGTAGAGTAATCTGTGAGCCAATTAGGTAACTGAAAATATTTCCTTTCATAAGCAACTAAGATTTCATTTATAACTTTAGAATGGCAACATTTTTACACTTTATTTAATTTCATGCTATATGGGCAAATTTATTCAATGAATAACCCCCAAGTACAGTTTCTCCTTCTAATGATTTGATAAAGAATAGGTTTTCTGTTCAGGTAAGTGATGAAAACAAACCTAAAACTGAGTTGAGGTTATCAGATTAGTTTTTCATTAAATCTTGAATAGCAACTTTGTTGCTGTTTAAAAATTTGCATGCAGAATAACTTCTATTTTATTTAAAAAAAAGTATAAAATATAAATAAATATATAAAATAAATAAATAAAATAATCTCTATAAGAAAAAACAATGTATATTTTACAGTTTATTTAAATTTTTTTAAACATAAGTTTTTTTTTGAGTATTGCATATACTTTAAGATTTAAAAGTATGTATTCAATATTAAAATGAAATGTGGCATTTAAGATGATTTTGAAATAAAATTTAATAAAATCTTCATTAAATTATTATTTGTTTTTAAAAAAAACCTATTTTCTGTAACTATTTCTTATAAAAATTGTACCTATTAAAACTTCTAAGACTAGTATTTTAGATTTTAGTGCTGGTAAATACACTAAATGCTTTAAAATTTTTTTTAACATAAACTTCATGTTTTTTTTATAGGGAGTTAGGTTTTCCTTCTGCAGTGTATAATGGGTACCTCCAAGGACAGAATATCATGATTATAATGTTCATTTCGAGTGATAAATTTGTTAAAGGTTGTTTAGTTGCTGAATCAATCACTTCGGTAAGTGACAGTATATTTTTAGTTAATTAAAATTTATATTGGTGTAGTGTTAAACTTACTAGGAATTACCACCAAGTGTTTCGTAAAATTTCGGTATGTAATAAAAGTTTTGGGATACCAAGTTCAAATATTTATATTTTGCAATCCATTTGATTTTTCCCGGTTTTTGCTTATTAATGTAAAGTAGGGGAGAGTTGGATAAAACGGGATACGTCGCCTAGGGACCAGACTATTGCAGCTATCTAGCGGACACCGACGGAAACTTGTTATTTGACTGTGATTATATCATTTTCAGTGCGTCCCGTCTCGAAATCACTAGTTGATAGAAAGTTGTAGATCTGAGAACTTTTTTACTCCATTTTTTTGCCACTTTCTACATTTACGTGCTTTGTTTTTCACATTGTACTACCTATATATATAGGATTACAATTCCGGTGAGTATTACATTTGATGAAGCATTTATTAACGAGTATTCTCATGTCTAGTCAATCTAATTTTTCTTTCATGTTTAGGCAGAAGCCATGTTTGTTTTGAAAAGTGTCTGAGTCTGACAAAACGGGATACTTACGAGTTGGATAAAACGGGATTGAGTTTTTTTAATATCCCGTTTTATCCACCTATTTATTTGTTGGCCTAATACTTTTACTATATTATTATTAGATACTATATCGAAAGAATGGTAAAAATGGCTCGAACAAATTCCTTGACCCCTGGACTGGCCGTAGTGAAAAAGTTGGACAGATAAGAGACAGTATTCAATGCTGAACAAGAAAAAACTCGTAAGCATGTATTGGTATTGGCTCTAGAAGAGAGATTATTTGGTATAACTCTAATGGACATACGAATGCTAGCACTTGAGTTAGCTGAGAGAAACAATATTAAGCATAATATTAACACAGGGAAAAAAATGGTTGGGAAGTGTTGGTTGTAATCATTTCTTGGCAGGCATGAAGAACTTAGCCTCCGAAATCCAGAACCCACGGGTATGGTGCGAGCAAAAAGGGTTTAATCACACTGCAGTTAAGCAGTTTTTTGAACTTTTGAATTCTCTATTAAGTAAACATAGGATTACTCCAAATGATATTTATAATGTTGATGAAACAGGAATTCTAACAGTGCCAAACAAGCCTTCAAAAGTGTTGAGTCTACGAGGTAAAAAGCAAGTGAGTAGCTTGTCTTCAGCCGAATGAGGAGTTTTGGTTACTGTTGAAACATGCATAAGTGCAGCAGGGGTATTCATCCCTCCTATGTTTGCATTTCCTCTAGTGAAGGAAAACCCAAGACTCACGGATGATGCATAAATACAATTTTTAGAAATTTTGTTCACAGTTTTCTGTCAATTAATTATGTTTTTAGTTAGTTACACACTAAAGATTAAACATTGTAAACCCTATCCCGTTTTGTCCGACCCAGGTATGCTAAAACGGGATATGTAAGAGTTTGGAAAATGATTTTTTTTCCTATTTCGCAGTCATTAAAATTAGTTAAAAATATGTTTTTTCTGTGCTTCAAAAAGTGATGTAGCTATAAAAAAATAATGTGTAGTTCTCTTTAACAGATTTTCCGTAGTAAATAAAAACAATAATGGTATCCCGTTTTGTCCAACTTTCCCCTACTAATAATAACCCATTGGATTTTGAACCTCTTAAATCTTTCAATTATAAAGGTCCCAAGTATGTAAAAGTTGAAAATTTTTTTTAAAATTTATTCTCGCAAATATAATTGGTGTTTGACACTTCATGCAATATTTTTTCTTTTGTTAATCTAAGTTGAACATTTAATTGGAAATAGTTTTAAAAAAAAGGCTGTAAAAAAGATTACATATTAGAAATACGCAGTTCGAAACCTTAAGAATTTTTTTTTTGTTTATCAAAATTTTACGTTACACTTAGTGCCATATTCTTTTTAATTAAGTGAATAGTGCTAATAATAATTCAAGAAGTACACATTCATTTTGTATTTAGTGTCACAATTGCAGCAGAAATGTAACTTTTTCTTGTGTTTAAGTGTAAGTGTAAGACTCAACTTAGTTAAAGTTTACTGAAAAACAATAGAAGTGTTTCATTATTCTTTGGCAATAAGAAGATTTTTGACTTAAAAAGGATTTCAATTGGCATGATTTTAAATAAAAACACCAAGAAAAATTTTAATAGCTTCAGAAGAGACAAGAAGAAATAAGAGCATTCATATTAATAGCTGAAAAATTTTTAAGACACATAATACACTCTGACCAAAATGCATTTCTGGATTTTCCTAAGTTTATTAACAATTTGATGTTACAAATAAATTGTGTAAAATCATTATTGTATTAGGTTTGTTTATAAAATAGTAACTGATGTGTTTTATTTCATTAATGTTTGTCTTTTATTGAACTAAAAAAATTATTGGTTATTACTATTGTCTATACATTATAAAATGTCACTTTTAAAATAAACTAAAACTTTTTGCTATGTGTGTAACAAGATCAAGATTTGTATAAATTAAATGAGTAATTAAATAAGTTTTATATATATATATATATATATTCGTCTTTCGGGTATGATCCGAAGGTCAGTTGTGTTCATCATTCTTTCAGGGTATATCATACTAGGTCTGTCAATGTTACCCTCATTGTAAGAATAGATAGTACCGAGAAAGAAAGCCTCTGACCGGTATTCAAACCCAGAACCTCTGTGAAAGGAGGTCAGCTCCCTTACCACCATGCTAGCTGGTTGGCATTATATAATGTAATTGGAACAGAATATCCTTAACCTTTTAACTCCTTTGAACTTTCAGTCTAGGGGTGCCTTCTAGCAAGACAATCAACAAATGAATATTTCTGACTAATAATCCATTTTCAAAATAATTAAATTTTCAATTTTTCAAATAAATTGCATAAACTTAATTGAAATATGTGAATACACTATGCTTTCTCTATTTGGGTTTTAGAATAAATTATTTAGGATGTTAGTAAAAAGAATTAATTTACCACCTTTTAATTTATTTATATTAGTAATAGTTTTTAGGTTTTCAGCATTTCTCTGAAATAAAAATTTGGTCTCATCACATTTATTTATCTCCTGGCAATATTGGCTATTCCATGATTGATTTTATTAAACAACTGTATGCACATTGGATGATGTTGACAAATTCGTAATTTTCTTTATGATTAAGTGTCACTTTATTAAATAATTATTGGATTCGGACAATTCATAGATTAAAGATGTTTAGGATGTTTTTTCTTTCTGATACCATTTTTACTCAGTATAGAAAGTTAGTTTTCTCATGCACTAAAATTTGTGAGTTGTAATCCCATTTCTGGTTGGCTGATATTCATTTTCACTGTTTTACCATATTATTTCAGCTTCCTTCCCTATAGTGTACTTGTTTTGAGAATCCTCTCATTTTTTTTCTTCTCATTTCAGAAGAGTTCATTTGAGAAGTTCCAGATCTAAGTTCTAATTTCTCTGTGTATTTGTGTTATGTTATTATTATAATTTTTTTTATCTTATCGGTTATTGTTATGATGATAATAGAACTAGCCTATATTGATTCTCCACTATTCTTTACTATGAATGTACGGGGCCTCAGCTCTAATTCTTATTCATTGGGTATAGATTAATTATTCTCGGGAGCATATTGATTCTGTATAAGTGAATTTAATAATTATTTCATATTTTCTTTTTTCTTTTAATGTCATCAATACATGGCAACCAATTTTTATGTTGCTTAGTGTTTGTAAGTGTTATTAAATTTATAAAATTGATATTATATTCTCCTTGAAATGGTTTGATTGTCTATGATTTTTTGAGAAAATCAAGTTTGTTTTCTTTTTCTTTTTTTTGTTTAAAAGTTACATATATTTTCAGTTTTTTCTTTTATGATTTCATTGATAAATGTTTTATTTCAATAAAGTTCCGTTAAAAAAAATTGACTTGTTTTGAATATTTTTAGGCTTCACCAGTTGTGTTACATGAGACAGGTACATCTAAAAGCTATTATGCCAGTTCAAAAACAGTCCGTGCAATTTGTGGCATAAACAGAATTTGGGTTGCAAGAAAGTGTCGGAAACAAAAAATTGCTTCTCGTATGGTAGATTGTTTAAGGTAGTTTTTCTGAAACACCTATTATTCTTATTTATTTTCATAAATTTTGCATAAATATTTTCTTTGTAACCTTTCTGGCTACTATGCTGAAATGCCCTAACTCATACTTATGGCGGTATATTGGTTGCTGGTGAGATTTTAAAGTACTTCTAAGATTCAATGCATGGAGAACTTATACAATATTGTGTATATCTCTTGAAATACTTAAAATTGAAATGAAAGTCCTTACATGCTACCAAAAACCGCCAGCAACAGCTAGCTAGTAACTCTCTGTAAACAGGCTAAAATGATGTAAATGAAGGATATTGAAGCTTTTTTTTTCATGAAAAAATAAATAAGTTATTTGTTCAGTGTATAGTTAGAAAATGTAGTTATTAAATTAGCTCATGAGTTTGAAGCATTATTTGAAATGAGTATTTTTTATTTAAAGTTTTAAATCTATAAAATCTCATTACCTCACTTGCAAATCTTGCCACCTGCAATTACAAAAAAACGTTATTTCTCACTGAAATATCGATATTTTTCTTTTTCAAACTTTATATTTTGAAATAAACGCTTGTAGTTTTGTTTCTATATATTAATTAATTTTGGGTTTTTTTAAATCGGTATTTTATCTTTAGTTTGAAACTCTCAATTCCCATCATTCTCTCATGGTTACTAGCTAAGAAAGATATTTTTGTTTCACTTTTATTTTTTGCTGGAAGTTAAAAACTGACCAATACTTATATTCTTCAAAATTATTATTTTAAACATGTTAATAACTAAATTTATTCCCATACCATGTTATCATTTCTTCTTATTAAAAACATAAATAGTTTTAATATTTTAAAAAAAGTATTAATTGTGAATGTTTTTAAAAAATTTTTTTTGTACCTTTTTCTGTATCTTATTACAACAAATTCTAAGTTTCTAACACTATTTTTGTTGTTGTTCTATTTTGAAAATACCTTATTAGTACTGTAATTGAGGTCCTACCTTTAATTTTATTAAAGATTATTTCAAATTGAATTAAAGAAAGTTATTAGTAGAAGGAAGCTATACTATAAATGGAATAAAATCGATATAATTTTCTAGTATCTTATTGAAACTTTTTATTTTGTAATGTACTGGAACTACTTTTTATTGTAAATTTTTATTTTGCATGATATACTTGAACACTTATAGTTTTCTAAATTATTTTAAAGTAGGGGTGCACAACCTTTTTCAGTGAAGGGCCACATGCACAGCAGATTGACCAATGAAGGGCCGCATGCCAAAGTGTTTAGACCGACATATTGAAAGCAATTGTTGGTGGTGATTGTTATATAAACATCATTGTTTATATAACACTAAATTCTTTTTGTCGGTTAACCTTGTAATCTCTTTGCAGAAAATACAATACTTTAAAACGTTTAAAATTAGAAAATGCAAAACTGATTACTTAAGAAGGAAAACAGAATTCGAAAATCAGAATCAATTTATNACTTATAGTTTTCTAAATTATTTTAAAGCTATAATTTTTTTAGCAGTATTAATTACATTTAAAAGATATTTCTAATGTTTCCTATACGAAATAAATGCATTGTTTATGTACAACTTTTGAATTGATATATGCCTATATATATATAAGAAAGTATATTTTTAGTTTATTTAATATAAACAATATTCTCTTACTAATGCAGATGCTCAACCAAACTTGGCCAGTAATTTACCTTTTAGAAGGCTCCTTTAAATCCTTTTGAGGCAGATATTCAACACTTTTATGTATTAATTTTTTATTTTCAATTTTTAAATGCAAAGTTTTTGTAAGAATTGAAAATGCATCACTATTATCTAATGAGATGAATAATTTAAAACTTAGTTCTCTTAGTTTTTTTGTTGTTGTTGGATCTATGTAATATTTAATAAGTGACTTATGTAAATAATACAATACATATTGTATTTTTTTTAATAATTTCCTTTGAATTGTTTAAATTTAAAATAAATATTGTATTTTTTTATTATTTCCTTGAAATTGCTTAAATTTAAAATAAATATTAATGTGATTCCTTGTTTCTATTTATTTATTTAACCATCATATCTCTTAATTTAAAACGACTAATAATGTTATATTTTTCAACTAATTAGTCCATCTTCTAGGCGAACAACTGTTTAGCTCGGAGGGTGCATGCTTTTCTGAGGTTTATTTATAATTTACTCATAGAATTCATTTCTATGTTTTCTTTTTTCTTTCATATAATTGTGTTACTATCTTTTATATTTGTATCTTTTTGTTCATATTGAGTTGTTTTTTAATAGATTTTTCTCAATATTTAATAATTTCTTTTAAAATTCGTTTTCAGAAGTAATTTCATCCTTGGTCTAGTGGTGAGTCTGGAAGAACTAGCATTTACGGATCCTACTGAAGATGGCATGCAATTTGCTTCTTCTTATACAGGAACTGATAACTTTCTTGTCTATAAATAAGTATTTTGTTTAGAATACTTTTATCTGTGATTTCAAAGACTTTAAGATTTATTTCTGTGTTTACTAAAAGTTTGTATATTGAGAACTCAAAAGATTCTATGTTTAGTTCAATATTTGAAATATTTTTTTATTTATCTGAAAGCATTTCAGTCTATTTTTTATTTTGTAAAAAAACGAAGAATATTATTTTTGTGTTTTCTTTTTAAAATGTGCTGTGTTTAAAAAATCTAATAGTTTTATATACTTTCATAGTTCGTGTATTGATTTTTCATGTTCCCAACATTGATTGTTAAATCAGTAGTTTCATTTTTATTATTAATAACATTGGTTTCATTGTTAAATTTTTCATCAGCAATTCATAAAGTTATGATTAATTTTATTTTTCTAGAATATTTGATGTTTAATACAAGTGTTTCAGGCAGTAATTCTCAAATTAGGTCTTATTATCCTCATAATTTGCTGCACAAATTTTAGTACCAATAATATTTTTGTGTAAAATTATACCTCTCCCCCAAATTTTATTAGTAGTATATTATTTGGTGCTTGATTTCATATTATTGTTTTACAAATAATTCGTAGCTTTTGAATTACTTTAATGTAGCTATATGAAATTAACTAAATTATAATAATATATTTAAAAATTGAATAAATGTAGAAATTAAGTATGTTATGAAAATAGTAAAAATTAATTTAATTTGTACTCAATTGTTTACTTTTAGCATATATTTTTAATGTAACCAATTTTTTCTGAACAATTTTTTTCCACGATTTTCCTTTAAATTTTTTTCTTCTTATTATTGCTTATATTTATATTAATGTTTTATTTTTAATCATGTTTATCTGAATTTCCAGCCTTTTTTCTTTCAAGTTAACTTATTAAAAAAGTATATTTGTTCTACATTTAAAACTTATTTAGTGAAAAGTACTTATCACCAGTTTTGTTTATCTTAATAGTGTTAAATTTGATTGATGGAAAATTGAAATTGCTAGTTTTAAAGTTTTCCAATGACAATAAAATGCTAAATAATTTTCCAATGTTCAAAAATGCGTATTAAATTTGTATTTATTTATTTTATGTTGATCTCAAAAAAAGTTGCTTCTAATGGAAGTGATGAAATTTTCCTTTGTTGAATGGTATTTTTCCTTAATTATTTTTAAATTACATTATTTGGTGGCAATAGTTTATTTTATAGCATTGCAAAAAATTGAAACTACCTAACTATAGCAACAAATAACCTTTTTTAATTGCTGTCATCATTAAAAAAATTTTTTTTTAAATTTTTTTTAACTTTGTATTTGTATTCTTTTTTAATTTAAAGTATATTTAGTTTTGTAAAAGTTAGTATAATAAATGAAACTGAATACTGTGCATAAAAGAGTTTCATTGCAGATTCTATAAAGCTTTGTAACTGATTAAAAGTTGTCTGTGCATTAGTTTCCACATTTTTCTGTTGTCCTTGTTAATTCAAGCTATAAAAGTTCATTATCTTATGCAGTTTGAATATAAACAATGCTTTAATTAACAAAGTAATGAAAGGTTGTTGCACTAGTCTTATAAAAAGGTGAAAAGTGCGTGCACAAAACCAGATTAAATCGATATTTGCTTGGATTAACCTGATAATAGCTTGACGAGTGAGGTAATCTCTCTCGCTACATTCCTATTTTTTTTTCTTATGGGATATTTAAGTTAAGTATGCTCCGTTCAAATATGTAGCTAAAGATAAGGGAGGGGTTTGCAGTTTGCTACATACGCTATTAAATTCTTTTTAGTTTTAAAAATACCTTATATATTATAAAACAATTAATACAAAAAATTAGATTTGCATGAACATAAGCACGATTACAGGGTGCGTAGTGTTTTTAAAAAGCGCTTATTTTCGATTTAATGAAAAGTGCTTAATTCGATTTCATTCAACCACAATCCGTTTTGGGGTACCATCGGTCTGTAGCGTATGAAAGTGTGAATCATTTCACATGTTTCATGAAACAGGTCCATGTGTGGACGAACTGAGTTTGTGGAAGGATTCTCGCTCTCTGATGAACAATTTTGCAAGAGATTCTCAACTTCATACTTCATTTTCCACCCTCTGAAATTGAACTGAAAAATCTCTTGAATTTTCACTGTTCGTGGAGACCAACAAAACATTGCAAATTTTTTTCCCTAATAGCAAAAGAAAGTTTTATTTCACTTGTTAATTTCATCGTTGGTGAAGCACCACCATTTTTGTTACTGTTTTGTACTTTTGTTGCACTCTTCTAGTTATAGAATAAGTACTATAATTCTTGAACTTGATTTGGGGATCATTCACTAATGGTGTATTTTCATGTGGGTCTAGTAATTTCTTTAAAAATATGTATGATTACTTATAGTAGAAATTTCTTCTGCATTTGCCTTTTAAAATTTAAATAAAAATTTCAGAGGTTTACAGTATTAAACTTTGTTTTAAATCTTTGTAGTTTGCATGCATTTAACTCTTATTTAAATATAAAAAAGTCAAAGTTTGCTTTCAGCTTTTCATAAAGATCATTCTTTTAATCAGCTTTATAGTATCATTTTTTAAAATTATTTACTGATAAAAAACCTTTTTAAAGTTCATGCCCACAAATTCAAAGATTTAAAATTTTTTTTTGATCTAAGAGAATTGATGGGGTTTCCAGTGATGAAATAAAATGCTTTGATGGATCAAATTTTTTTAAATATTTTCTGTAAAAATCACATATTATTATTAAATTATTTCCAAATAATTCTTTTCAGATGCAATATTTGTGTGTGTAATGAATATTGTAAGAAAACTAAGGTGAAAAATAAACTAGAAAATAAGAATTTTTTTTCTTCAATATTTAAATGAAGGAAAAAGAGCTCAAAACATGTCTACTTCTCTTTATTGCCTAGAAGGTAAGCAATAAAGAAGAATAGAAGGGTAGTTAACGAAAGAAAAAAAGGAAATCAGGACAACACATTTCCATGTGGAATGCTGGTAGGGCAGAACTGCCTGTTGTAGTCAGTAATGGAGCTTAAGGCTCCACACTTTCATAAGCAACGGGATGATAGTGGGCAGCATTGTGCACAGGCCAACTTTACTTCCCAGACAAGCTGGTACCCATTGATATAAAACTGAGTGGGCTTCAAGCTGCCATTGGGGTTGAAAAATTTGTGTGTCAAATCCTTTGCGTGCCAGGTATGAGTGCTCAGAATATATTGACCTTTCTTTTCAGTTCAACAATAAAGTATATGAAGTTCCTTAATTTCAGATTATCATTGTATATATTTAATTTTTTTAAATACTGACTTACAAGATAAAACGTTTTCTTTTTTTTCTTCTTTTTTTAAATGTCTTTTCTGTTTCGAAGAAAGAATTGTAATTTTGGCTATGCATGATTTCAAAGAATTTTGTACCCCCCAAAAAAGTGCTTTTTTTGTATTATCTAGTAGATGTAGATTGACTTTTCCAAATATTTTGAATGGTAGTAATTTTTTTACTCATGCATGATTACTGATAGTAGTAATTTCTTTTACGTTACTACTATGATGAGTAGACTATTGCTGTCATTGAAAGCAATATATATTTTCATAGAATTTAGTTAATAACTAATAATGGATGAATTTATATTTAAACCTAATTTTTGCCCATTATAATGGCTTAAAAATATTCCCCGAATTGGAAAAATGCTAATTTATTTAAGAATATTTACTTGTTTAAATAATTATGCAGTTTAATTTTTCCATAAAATTAACTTATAAAATTATCATTCACTCTATATATGATATATATTTATTGGTATAATTTGGATGTATCTATAAAAACTTTTTTGAATGTCAAAATTTCAAGTCTATTTAAAGTTGCCACTATGTTCATATATTTTCCAAAATTTCAAATTAAAAATATATAGATTTCCTAGATTAAGTCTAAAGTTTTATTTAGATCAGTTAATTTTTTTTAGATCATAAATTTTAGTTTTTAAGTGCAAAACTGTTGAGTTTAAAATGCAATATAAAATATAACATTTAGATTGTGAGGAATCTATATCAAAACCTTTATCTAACCTAAAATCTACTTAATGGCCTTTCCTAATGGTAGGCTTGAAAATATGTGTATTTGAGAATGGTTAAATGAAATTAAGGTTTTCACATATATTCCGGGAAACATAAATATTACATTTTATATGTCATTTTTTTTTATTTTTACTGTTACTGCATATAATAAATTTCACATTCTTGTCTTTGAAAACTAAAGTTTGTTTTACATTTATGCTTTCAAAAATATTGAAAGTTATATTTTTGACCCTACCAATAAAATTTAACTCCATGTCTATTCTAGGTGTCACCAATATTTTTCAACTTCATTGAAAAATTGTTTGGTAAATTTGTGATTACAGTGACAATTTTTTAGCATCTTAAAACTTTGAATTTAAAAAGTTTTTATGGTACACCTGATTTCCAATTTTTATTTGTTAGTTTTAACTGTCACCTACTTAATTATTGTTTAAAAAAAGTACAGTTTTTTTTATGAAATATAATGAGAATTGTAATTTTTGGTATGTATCAGAAATAAAGACAAGACACATAATGTATGACAGGGATCACATTTTTGTACATATCATAAGCACCAAAAGAGATGTTTTGAATAGGAATGTCTGTTAATTCACAGAATTATTTCTTCCAGATATAATTAGTCATACAATATTCCTGCATGACAAACCACTTTCAGTGACTGACATTGACGCCAACACTTATATAATACAGATTATATTATATAATACATCGTATTCTTCGACTTATATGAGAGATGCAAAAGGTTATAACAGTTCTTTTTATTATGTTTTCTAAAATGTTGGATAATTTGCACTTCTTAAAAATATGTGAAGATTAACACAGACTATGTAAAAGATGTAATGATCTTCAATCTAATTTTATGACTTTTAATTTAAAAAAGATGTATTTTTACTTCATGAGGTACATTTTTATGAGGAGTTAGCTTGATTTATGATAGTATTATTCCAGATCAAAGTGCCACAGTTAAATATCAGTTTAAATAGTCTAAATTACTATTCTTTAAAAACCTGGACCAGAAAAATTATTATTTTTTAAATCTCAAGAAATAAATAAAATAAATAAATATATAAATAGAAGAATTCTTCAAAAGTTTTGCCTCATATTAAAATATTAATTTATTATTGGAATTTAAATATTATCAGTAGTTTAATTTAGGATCGCTATTACAATCTTTGGTATTTGAATAACTTCTATAATAGTGTATTTTTAAATGCATAGGACCAAATATAGAAGCCATTCAAACTAATTTGAACCACCAATTAATGTCATTAAAAAAGCTTTCCTTCAAGTTTATAGTTAAGTGCTAAGTTTTCTGCAAATTTTCATTCAATTTGAAAAATTATTTCGGACTTGCAAGTTAGTTCAGATAAAATTTCTGATTAATTCTATGTGTCTAAAATAGCCAAAAAAATATCAGCTAGAATTTTCTTTATATAACCCAAAATTTTATATATATATGAAAATTAAGGAAAGTTGGTATCCCAGGTATGTTTAAAACTTTTGTAAATTTCACAGCTTTTATGTTTTCCAGGGATGGAGAATGAATAATGATAATCATTATAAAAGACTGGTTAATGATAAATATTGCATTTTTTATCATTAATTTTTGTTCAATAATTAATGAATTCTAATGATGAAGGACTGGAATTGGAAATAAAAAATGTAAAGTAGCTGCTTTTTTTTTGTGAAATTAAAAATATAATTAATGAAATTTAGCTGTTTAAAATCAGTAATCAGCTTTTATGCTATGATTCTCAATAAAAAAACTATTTTAAAGTATTGTCATTTTTAATGGTAATATTAAATCATCAATTCTATAAATGTTTGCAAAGAAGATGTTTCACTTCTCGTGTAAACTGTTTTTACGCATTGTTTTTGAACCAAAAAAACATTAATACCTAATGTAATTTAAAACGTAATTAATAACTGTAAAATAGTTAGTAACTGTTATGATAGGTGTTAATTACTAGCATAATTAACATCTATCATAACAGTTTTAGCTTTTGGTTGTATAGGTGCAAATTATTTTTAGATATTTATGCCATAAAAATTTGCATCAGTCATATAAATCCAATCAGTAGATGACGTTTTGAGTTGAATAATTTATTTAAAGATAAATAGGTCTGCACTGCATCTAATTATTACCATAATGTTATTTTATTATGATAGATGTTAATTACGTTTCAACAATTGAAATTGTAGTCCTAATGTTAATTGTTAATATTCCAAGTGTTACATAAATTAAAAAAAATTTTTTTTTTGGTAGTTAACATTTTATTAACATTATATGGAAGTTTTTATGTGTGCATTTAAGGTAGACTTAAGGCATATGATATAATTAAGGCTTTTGGTATCAAACCGAGCCCAAAGTGCTTTTTGGAAACCGATTTTATTCTTTAATATCCTTGATTTAATCTGAATTAATACTTTCATTATTTTAATTTTTTTTTAATAAATAAATTACTTCTTTTTGTATTTTTTCTTTAGTAAAAACATATTACTTAAACTTTTAGATAGGGAATATTTTATTACTAATATAAAAAGGAAATATATAAAATTTTAATTCTATGATCTGGTGTTTTTGTATTTCCAAAGTAAATTGAAAATAATCAATTGAACTTATTTTGAAACCAAAAGCCTCTCTTTGGGTTTTATTTGACAAACCAATGAAATAAATAATTTTGTATGAGTATTAATTTTGGCAATGTATAAGACTTTTTGTCTTGTGCTATCTTTTCATATAAGGCAGTGTCACGACCTTGTTAAACACTTCTTATTTTGGTCCTTATTATATAATATATTTTGCAAAATAATTTTTTCTTATTTTTAAAAGTCAAAGCGAAGACATGTACATATTTCAACAGCTAAGTTCATTGCCTTGTTTGTAGAAAACTTATTAGAGATAGTATCTTCAAAGATGTGTATCTGGTAATTTTTGTCCAGATTGCATGTTTTTAAAGCCATATCTTCCTTCAAGAGAGGAAAAAAAAATTTAAAAGGTAAACAACAATCTATCGGAATTAAAATTTAGAAAAATTAAATCCAGTTTAATACATATATTTTCGCTAAATTGGTCCACAGCATATCCTTGGCAGAATAACTTCTTTGCTTGTGTTTTATCACATTAACGCTCAGTGTTATAAGACTCGTTTCTTTTAATTTATAAAATTTAACAACTCCTTCAACAAGAACCCATATAACTTTTTAGCTGTATTGGAAGTTTGTCACTTTCTTTTTAGTACCATATATTTAAGTTGCAATTGTTTGCGAGAAACTTAATTGGTTAAAATGAATCACGTGAAGTCGCTTGTGGAAGTATTCACGCATCCATACGCATAGTTGTAGATCCAGGTGAGTTAGAAGCTTGCACATCTTGCTTGGGATTCAGGTTGTTTCCTGGATTTCCGTTCCCTGTCCTTTCGGGAGATTTCAAGGGATCACCTAAGAAATCATTTTTTAAAAAAAATTAATTTATATTACAATATATAGATATAGTATTAGAATATATAAATATACCATTTAAATGAATATGAGGGAATTTAAATAAAAACCTTACGAAATTTCCATAATAAGCATATCAGTAAAAACAGTACTTCCTCGGGGCACAGTCAGTTTTTGGTTGAACTACTGACTACAGGGCGATGTGTCCCCTGAAGAAGTATTGTTTTTACTGACATGCTTATTTTTGAAATTTCGTTTGGTCTTTATTTAAGTTCTCCCATATTTATTTAAATTGTGTGCTAACGACAATTTTGGTTTTTGCTGGTTTGTTTGGTTTTGCACTTTTCCAATTTGACTTATTGTATTTAAAATTTTGGTCTTCATTTTTGTTATTCCATTTTTTATATTTTTAATATATAAATATAGTATTACAATACATAAATATACAGCATAGTTGCCACATCCACTGGATTTCCCAGTAGACTGATTATTTGAAATTGTCTTTTTAACGGATCTTCTGATTTCATCGAAATTAAAATAGTTGTTCATTTTAGAAGATTCCCTAAAATCGGGAAATTTCATGAAGAAAGTCCCTATTAAAATAGGTTTTTTACTCAATTTTTGATTTCTTGAGTAATTAAATTAGTGTATTCTTAATAATAGTTAGCTTTATATGTAGTAATCGATTTGGAAGTTTTCTCTTCTAAATAAAGGATGAAAAAAAGAGTACAAGCAATGAACTATCATTGTAAGTTTAGTTTCCATCCTAATTTTAGAAATTTCTGGAAATGGAAAATATAAAAGTATACTTTCTGATGAAAATGTAAATAATGTTCTTGTAGAACAAGAAATGAGTTTTTATAGTAGATCAAAGTGTGTATATATCTTTTGCAGCACCCTATATTTTAAAATGGCCACTTATTTTATTCAGAATAAACTAGTCAGAGAATACTCATTTTTTCATATTTCTCAAGAAATAAAGTAAGTGATTGTAATGCGTCTACCACTACAAAAACACAATTCCTATTCTCTAGTGTATAAGACATATTAAATCGATTCTAGTGTGGAGTACTTCTTCATAGATGAAGGTTGACATTGTCGTTAACTACCATCCCCACATTGGTGACCCGGTCGCGATGTGAACACCTCTACCTTCACGGAAACGTCCACTTCGATTTGAACACGCCTACTTCGATAGATGGTCTCCATTGAACAGTTTACTTGCTACTTGTGACTGTGACATTATTCGTCTCCTCGCGCAGTTGCTTCTCAGTCTCGAGCACACACAACGTCGGCTTGCATACACTTGATTACTAATATCAGCACAGGAGCGGCCACGATCCTGAACTTAATACAGCTCTCACGATCAATATTTAAAAGTACGATGATCTTAATACAGCTCTCCTGGCTTCCCGCAGAACAGCAATGAATCAACTAATGTCATCTGTTCATCAAATTCTATCTCAGATATAATTCTGGTGGGGGAGTACTGTAGTGCGTCTACCACTACAAAAATACTATTCGAATTTGCTAGTACATAAGACATGTTAACTCAATTCTAATGTGGAGTACTTTTTCATAGATGAATGTTGACATTGTCGTTAACTACTATCCCCACAGGGTTACTTAGAGAATTCATTTAAAACTGTAGAAAAGCTTAAGTCAGGCGATTTTTCATACGTATCAATAAAGCTTAAAGTTTTTAGAGGTTTGAGGGACCAGCAATAAATTACGAACAAAAGAGAATATTTTTAAACATCCTATGCAAAAAAAAAAAAAAAAAAAAAAAAAAAAATTAATCAGCTATAATCTTGTACCTTATGTAAATTACGTTGATTATTATATGAAATAAAAGCGCAAAATAAGTTTCCCTAGCTTAAACATTCATGGAAATATGAACTTTTTTATATATATATATATTTTTTAAACTTAGTTTTCTTATTTTAACTGCAGAAATATTAAACAAAATGATTAAAAAATTTTAGAGTAATTTAAAATTAATTACAAAAAAACATAATTTTTAACATAATTAAAAAACATAAAAAAAACAAAACAAATCGTTAAAAATTTTGCAAGATATGAGCAGCGCAATATTTTCACACTGCGCTTGCGCAGAAAACATGAAATTTTTTTTAACATGAAATTTTTTAATAGATTGTTTTGAATCGTATTTGATAACTTATGTAAAAAGTCCGATTTGCATATCTTGAAAATTTAAAAGGTTTCTAGAAATTTTCTAAGTAGTTTTTGTTGATATGGAAATAAAGCTTTTAATGGTATGTGGTTTTCCACAAATTAAATTTTGTACTATTAAACAAGATTTATTAAAAATTATATAGGATCATACGCTGTTACATCATGTTTCATCTCACATGTTTTATTTCCTAATACCGTCACATATTGTTTTGGCAATCATTGTAGGGTATTCTCATTTGTCATGAAATTTTTTTATGATACAAAATGAAATATGTGGAAAATCCCTTATCATTTAGAATTTTTAATAGAATACAAAAACTACTAAAAATTTGCTTTAAACTTTAACATTTTCAAGGCATTCAAAGCAGACTTTTTTCAGAAACTACCATATACGATTCAAAATAAAAATATGAAATAATTTTTAAAAATATTTTCCGCCCATTTCGTAGTAAAGAATTACTTCAAATACGCATTTCTTGCGGAATTTGTAACGATTTTTTTTCTTGTTTTGAAATATTTTTTATTGTTAGTTAAAAATTACTCTAAAAATTTTGTTTAATTTTATTGAATATTTCGGCAGTTAGAGTAAGAAAACGTAAATATAAAAAGTTTTTTTTTCTATAAAAATGACCATATTTCCATAAACTTTTAAGCTAGGTTTACGAAATTTTGTGTAGTTATTCCATATGATATTTAACGTAATTGACATGAGATACAAGATTATTTCTGTATTTTTAAATGTAGGGTGTTCAAAAACATTCTTTTTCGCTAGTAATTTATTGCCGGTTTCTTAAACCTCTAAAATTATTGGTTGGTTGGTTCTAATTTTACTTGCCGCACGGGCAAGCCTGCTTGGTGAAACCGAGCAAATTTAAGGCAGAGTGCGCAATTCTTATTTTTCAGTGGCGCCATCTATGGTCAATAATTCGACTTCGCCACATCATACGTCACACCTGTTTATAAGGCAGACCCATTCATACATCCATTCATTCATCCACAGATCGTAATTTTGACGTGAATCAGAGAACTATCGATCTCCAATCCAGTACCCCCAGAGGTATTGATTTGTTATGGGGATATGGAGGACTTTTGTGACTCGACAGATTTAGCGTGCATCAGTCACTTTACTACACGGGGAGTCTTCGGCCTGCGTGGTTCGAACTCTCGGACATGGGCCCAGCCCCCTACCGATCTGGCTATCCCGGCCTTCTAAAATTATTTATTGCTATGAATGAGAAATCGCATGACTCAGGAGTTGATTTAACAGTGAAGATATGGTTTCTTTTCTTTCACATTTAATGATATTAATTTTTGAAATTAAAAGATTAATTTATCATTCAATTAAACATTTAAGCAATTTTTTTTACAATAGCTGCTTAGGAAAAGAGAAATTTTTAGGATCTGATTTTGTTCAAGTTTTCCTTATAACAATGTTACCATGCTTTATTTTTCAAAATCTCTCTGTGAAATAAAAACATTATTTTTTAAGTTTAACTGAAGCTGACATGTAGTTCCTTTCATCCCAATGAATAATTTATCGAATAAAGAAATAGGATTGAATTGTAAAGTAAAAATATTCAGCAAAAAAAATTTTTCTTCTTCATTTTATCAAGAAAAGTATGTTTAAAGAATTTTCGTTGTTTGCTGGGAGAAAAGGATTTAAGTATAAAAGTGTTGAATAATAGAAGAAGGGAGAAAATATCAATATCTTTTTTGCATAACTTAGCTTAGAAAAAATGAATACTTAAAAAACAGCTTATGAACAATGCACCATTCGCTAAAAATTATAACTTTATATTTATCTATGAAGGACTTGGGGCAATATAATAGGCAACATTTAACAATTATTTTAGAGGGCTACATACTTTAACATTCTATGTTAGCAATAATATGTATCTATTTAATGTACTGTTTTCTCGGATTGTATTATCGGAAATTCCGGAAACTAATGAAGTAACTATCTGGAAAAAATACCTTGAAACGTTTTGAAGAAGAAATGCCATTTTTGGAAAAATGTGGCCATTACCTTAAAGAAACAAAAGTGTAAAAAAGTTTAAAGTGTAAAAAAAAACAAACAAAGAAACAACCATTGACCGTTAATAATGGATGGGTATTTTATAATTGCTTATTGTTGTATGATTGCCTATATGTATTGATGCCTCGATTGACCCCTTCTAAAACATAATTTTATGTGTTTTTATCTATGAACTATACACAAACTATAAGTTTTAATCTATATTTTCTAACAGTAAAGCTTTGTCCCAATTTTAATGCGATTTTTGCCCACTAGTTTTTTTTCTCCAAATCCCTTGTGGAGAAGTTGTGCCTCATTATGAATAGGTGAAAAAAAAAGTTCTTTTTTTGTGTGTATTTTTTATGAATAACTAATATTTTTCAATATTCTGCTTTCAAACTTCAAAGTTTTGTTTTAAACTATTAATAAGGAAAAATATTTCGTAAACTACATTTTCTCGATACAGAAAAAATTTGAGCACAATTATGAACTTTACATTTATTAAAATTCTGTAAATGCGACCAATATAAAACTTGAATGGTATTTCGAAAAATGTCAGGGCAATGTATCAGAAATTGGTGAGAAGGAATACAAAGAAATATCAAGGAGATTGTGGTTTGCGAACATAATGATCTTCCTTAATACATATTTTAAGATCACTGCAATATTCAGGTTATTAATTAATGATCTTCCTTAATACCTATTTAAAGATCGCTGCAATGTACTGGTTATGTAATGACCTTCCTTAATACAGTTTTAAAGATCGCTGCAATATACTGGTTATTCCGTTATGACCTTCCTTAATACAGATTTAAAGATCGATGCAATATACTGGTTATTCCGTAATGACCTTCCTTAATATGTATTTTGAGATGGCTGCAATATACTGGTATAGTTATTCAATAATGACCTTCCTTAATATGTATTTTACTGGAATACTTTTACGGAATTTTTATACTTTTATGATAGATACTTTTTATGGAATAACCAGTATATATACTGCAATATACTGGTTATTCTATAATGACCTTCATTAATACATATTTTAAAATAGCTGCAATATACTGGTTATTCCAAAATAAATAAATAATTGGGTACTTGTACTTCAAGAAGAAAAAGATCACAGATACGCTCACATGTGACCTATGACGTCTGCTTCAGCTGATCGCTTATAAGCAAAATGGCGTGTTGAAGTTGAGCTAAGTTTCTCCACTTGAGTTTGAATGTTAGTTAATGTGAAGTTAACTAAATACAGCTCCGTATCGCACATCGAATTTATTGAAATATAACTCTTTCTCGTCTACATCTTTTACTTAACTTAGATTTATTATCTGTTTACGTATTTTATTGTAACCATGATATATTTTTGTTTTGTGTACCTGAAAACTTCGATGCATAATTAGTTTATGTTCTACGTGACTTCATGCCGGTTTTTGCGTTAAATAAGAAATATATAGTGAAAGAATTGAAATCCTTGTAAAAGAATCTTTGAGTAAGAATATCGAATGTATCACTTAAAAGAATTGATACTTGACAGGCTTAACTTACTCGAAATGGAATGGAAAGAACAGTTGCTAACGTAAACAGATATCGCGTTGCAACAACCTATCAGTAACGAGATACCCACACTAAAGTGAAAAGAACTTTGAGCGAACCTAACCTCTCTCCTGACTAAACTATTTGGATCATGTTTTTCAGATTGTGGCTACTTCACTTAATTTCAGCGTTAAGAATCTGACTTTTTCAAAATAAAAGGTAAATTTACAAAGAAAATACGTTTTTGTGTTTTAATACAAGACCTTTGAACTCTTGAGACTATATCTTTGTGTGTGAAAATTTGAGCGATAAATCAAAATTCATTAAAGACCTTCACAAACCAAAAAAAAAAAAAAAAAAAAAAAAAAAAAAAAAAAAAAAAAAAAATTAGTGAGCGTTTCAATACTATTTAAACCCTTATTTTCAGGCCAGAAGATATTCGAGTTGTTGCAATTTTTCACTTTTTATTTTTCATTTTGTGCACCGATATTTTTTCCAGTGTAAGTGAGTCTTAATGTAAAAGTCCATAGCATTTGATTTGAAGTGATGCTTACGCTTCAAAAGTGAATCATCTGTGCTTTTATAGAAGTTTATGTAAATAATTTGTTTAAAGTGGATTGGTACAATTCGCACCGGTACATTCGACGTAAACTATAAGCTTTAACTATAAGTAGTTATAATTATTTTAATATTAGTAGTAGTTGTCATTTATTTTTTGTACTTCTTATTTAACTTTCGATTCTCATATCGGATTTTATATATTTTATTTTATTTTTTTATAACCGTCGTTGAACATCTTACCTAATTTTAGGTTTATGACTACGAATGTTCAATGCCCTGGCCTTGTAATTTTGAACCCAAGCCGGAGGACAAGGGAACTCCTGGATTAAGTATGGGGAGAAATTTGGCTTCGCGGAGGACTTTTTGAAGGAACTAACCCGCATTTGCGTTACATGGAGAGGAAAACCACGGAAACCTTCCATGCTTAGTTTGACGGCAAGGGGACTCTAACCCATGATCCGTCAGCACTGTGGTTGGTGCGAACTAGGTGAGGAATTCATATCGACCAGCCATCGCTGGTATTCGAACCTTGTTCACCTCATTGGAAGGCAAACGCTCTAAGATTTTATATATTGCTTTGTGGGGTAACTACCACTACGATTATTAAAGATCAATTCACTAGTATGTAAGACATGCTAACTCTATTCGATCTTAGGGTACCTTTTTATAACTGACGGTTGACATCGTCGATAACACACTCTCCACAAATTGAAGTTGTTCAAAGTACCTCAAAATGATGATAATTCTGTCATAAACGACTTCTGGGTAAAGTTCACACCATTGTGAATTATGCCGGTATTTTAGTCGATTAATTACAGCTGTCGGTATTGAACTTGTTGTTTCAAGAAATTTTTAAAAAATGTACGTAATATATGTTGTGTAAGGAATGAAAAAAACAAACTGAATATTTGATGTAATGACCTGGTTTTCAAGCATGGGGAAGATGATTTAGTTTAAATAAGTTGTGCAATAAGAATCTGAGGGTTGCAGATGTATAATGGACATCATGTGGATTAAATTTTATAGAAATTGGTTTTTTCTCCAGACGACTTTAATTTAGAGCATTTTAATTCGGAAAGCTTTTTAGATATAACAGAGAGATAGCAATTACCTGTATTTGCTATTTCGGTAGAGACGTGTACTACCGTGTGATGAATATCAACAAGTCTTGCAGCTCTATCTATTGCACTCTGCCTCCGATTTCTAACAGGAGGTGGACCTGGCGTCTCATCACGGTTGTGATTTAGCATAGGTTCTTTTTCACCTGCAAGATTGTAAGAAATGTTTGTTTATTAAATAGAAAAGTCACTGCAACATTAGAAAATTTTAGTAGATTTTCGCGTTTTACGAATGAAAACTTATTTACTGCACAAATTAGAAAAATAGAAAATTCAATTTCGCTACGGAATATATTGAACAAAGTCGTGATTGTGTATGAGCCATGCAATGAACATGGCTACGAAGAATGCAGAGAAGAAAGATAGAGAATCAATTCCAGTCCCAGTGGTCTGTAAGTACTAGAAATGAACCTATCCTAACTGGCATTGTTGACCATAGGTTTGAATTTAGCGTTATAAATTGTACGAAAATTCAAAACACGTGGAAAACAGCATAACTTATGATTGTCTGTATAATCGGCGAATATACGCATATCCTTCCATTATTATGTCACTCTCATATGCACTTTATGGGATTCATGTCATGAGATCTAGCTGGCCACTTCAGATACTCTGATTATCTTCTGCGTCAAGTTATTTTTCAACTGGCCCAGCTTTGTGTGAACTCTTATTGAAATGCATAAAAATCAACTTTATAAGAATGAGTCATATAAAAATGATTCTACGAAAAATATTGAACCCTGTAAACTCTTGGGTTCGCGAAGAATGGTGATGTTTGTAGAATTAAAACTAATTTTTAAATTAAGAAGTTATGTAAAGATATAGATATCGTAAGCACCATAAAAGCGCTGAACGGCTGTAGTGATTAGATAACTTTATAAGAATGGGCAAAAACAGAGGCACGAAAAAGTTTAAAAAAAAAGAAAAAAAAAACAGGAAAGGGGCAAAGTGAAGGACCCCAAAACGATAGTTATATAAAGTTGTAGGATATTTTGATGTGTTGTCATGAAATGCGCAACTTATATATAAAAAAAGGTAAGGTTGGGTCCTGCCCCAACACGGAGCTTTTGGAGCTCACTCCAAATTCTTCCAATTTTTGAAAAGTAAGCAATAATTCGACTGCTGACTTCTCGGACGAGCCAGTTTATAGTTTTCACGTGAAGTGATTATTAATAATAATTCTTAAAAAATAATAAATTACAATTCATGAATTTTCGAAACTTAGAGAGCATTCATATAAATCTAGTTCAATCATTTCGCTTAAAATGCACTAATCTTATTCTCAATTTCAAAATGTATATTTTATATGAATTTTCATTTTTATGGAAAGATAACAATAAAAATGCCAGTACGGCAGTGCGGCGTTGGAAAATATTTTGTAATAAAGTGAAAAATTTGTTTTCAGAACATTTTGATTCTACACAAAGTTTGTATATAACGAAAAGAGAAGAATAAAATATTTTGACTCGTCTCTTAAGATTAAAATCTGAAGATTCGTCTCTTAAGATTTAAAATTGATTAAACTTATTTGTCTGTTTTCGAGCAATTTCGTCAAATATTTTGGAGCAACCTCCGAAAATTCCAAGTCCAGGAACAGACCCGATATGAAAGTTTGGAAATGGGTTAAGAAGAAGGCTAAAATCCTTCATGGACTGTAGTGCCACGGAGTAATTAAATAAAAGCTAAGATTTGATATTCGTAAACATTTGTATAATCTCTTAAACAACATAAGAATTTGTTATGTAGTTTTTATTTTACGTTTGACTTTTTAATTTCCTTTTCACACATGAGTGCATTTAAGTTTTATTTTATTTTTTATAATTTCAATTTGACACATATAATTTTATATTTTAATATTTTTATACGTTATTTTCTATTTTCTGAAAGTTTCACGATCATTATTTAAATAAATTTAAAAAAAAAGTAATGAACAATTATTAAACAAACACTTTTAACAGGAATTTATCTTTGGATAAATTAATTATGTGATGAATTGCAAGTATTTTATTTTTCTCTATTAGTTCTGAAAATAGAAATGGCGAGCCTATGACATGCGTGCCACTGGGTGTCACGTGACAGCTGTTTCGACCACACGCGAGAAGTAGATTTTAATTTAGTTTTATTCACTTAGATTCACTGCAAATGTCAGTTCAGAAAAAAATCACTTACACTAACTGCTATCAAAGGTGGATTCAGAAACAAGCACGATTTTGCATGCCATTTTTATATTTTACTCGAACGTTTTTAATTTAATTCTTTATTTTTTCCTCTATGAAAGTATACGTTGAAAGGGAGACTGATATTTCCTGGGGGAGTGCTATGAGTTGCAAACATGTAACACGAGCAAATTTGAAAATTTTGAGAAAATTGCAATGTTAAATTTGTATGATGTTTGAATCTCCTTACATAATCATGTAATCAATTTAATGTTATCCACTTAAAGAAATTGTCTTACTTAAGATTTAAGAGAATCTAGCTATGACAAAAACCTTGATTAAACTGGCACACTCATCGAAAAACGTGCGCAGTTTTCTAGAGATTTACAAATGACACGACAAAGAAACTAAAAAAGTAAAAATAATTAAAGGGGCCCAAGATTTCGACTATTTTTGTTTGGTCTGACACAGTAATTCATATTTCAATTGAAAATATGGTGAGATGCCATAAATGATTATGTGGCATGTGTCAAAATGCTAATATTTAACCTGAAAAAGTGCATTTATGTATCTCATTTTATATATTTATTTTTAGTTCTTGCATATTATTGAACTTATCTTAAACGGACTGTTTTTTCGTGTGTTACTTCATTTTTCGATGTTTTTTCCTGTTCACTTTTTGTTGCTTTTGATTATTTTAGGTTTAGTTTGTTTTCCGCTTTTCTTAATTTCTCTTTCGGTGTCATTGTTGGTTTATTTTTGCTAAAACGAAATCTCGCATAATCTTGTGACGATCACAAACCTTATATGTTTTATTTTCTAAGAAAGGAGCTTAAAGAAGCTAAAGGTGATCACTTACTTTTCAAGTTTATGAACTTCTTAGAAAAAGCTTTCATTTTCTTTTTCTTTTAATGACCGTCGTTGAACAGCAGACCCAATTTTGAGTTTACGACTACCAAAGTTCAATTCCTTTGTCTTGTAATTTTAAATTTAATCTAGAAGACAAGAGAACTCCTGGATCAAGTATTGGGAGATACTCGCATTCGTGGAGGATTTTTTGATGTAGTAACTAACCCGCATTAGCCTTACATGGGCAGGAAAACCACAAAACCTCCCACGTTTAGCCTGATGGTAAGGGGACCCATGATCCGTCTACCACTGAAGATATTTTACATCATCACTGGGTCAGCCAGCCAGGTGTCGATGATCAGCAGCTTGAGCTAGGTGCGGAATTCGTATCTACCAGCTATCGCTGGGATTCCAACCCGGGTCACCTCATTGGGAGGCGAGTGCTCTATCCTCTGAGCCACCATGGCTCTTCATTTTATTTTCTATTGAAGAAGTACTTAGTAAATAATTGTACTTTTTCATTTCGAGTGGGCAAAAAACAATCACCAAACTATTCTTAAGGCCAGTGACTGGTTTAACATGTATTGAAGTTACTGGTGCTATGGAAATCGATACCTTATTTGTTAATATAATTACTCTGGTAGAATAACTTTATGTACTTCCCTTCCTGAAGCGGTTACATAAGATTATTTCCTTTTTCTGTGAAATACATTTTTCTTTCATTGTTTCATCTATATTTAATAACATTGCACTTGAATCTACATAAAAAAAATATTATAATGCATTTTACGAAAGATCATAAAATATATCTATAAGTATTAAAAGTCATTTTGCGGAGTAAACAGAAGAAATTCTAACAAAATAAAGTTTGAAGAAAACCAGGCAACAGGCGTGTATAAAGTTATATTTCATCACGAGATGGACTTGAGACGAAGCCCAGGCGTTTTCACTTTGACTTTAAGGATAAGACCTGGTCATTTCGAGTCAGAAAGAATCATATCAATTTTATGAGGAGGGCGCTTAAGAGTTACAACGTGATATTTACGACACTTTCATTCTTCCTGGCAAGTGTATCAGTCACGAATCAGTTCTGGATGGTTGGTTTTGATATTCAACTAGCGCCACCTATATTTACAGCCTGGTAAGTAATGATCGGTAATCTTAGTTTTATTCGGGGGAAATATTTATTACCAAGAGCGAGTCCTGAATCGATTTATCTAAAAGAACAGACAGTTGCAAAATTATTCCTTTTGTGGTTCTTCCTAGGTTTATTTGTCCTTTTCTTACACTCAATTTCACAATAAAGGAAAGCAAGTTCTCATAAAACATCCGGATATATAAAATGGGATTTATTTTTTCAACCCCACTCTTAGAAATAAAACTATCAATTTTTGACGATTCAACAATACCTGAGCTGTATTTCATTAATTTTGAGAATAATTTCGTCACAAAATCACAGGATTTGTGACAAAACGTAATCTCTCAAGTATATATCAAAAATGTTTCTTCAACTCGCAGTGCATTGTGGGAGATTGTTTACTAGAATAACGAAACTAGAATGAAGACTACACAATCGAAAATAAAGGTATGAAATCAGCCGACCTTGCTATATGGTGGTTAATGAGTTAACCTCGTACCAGAAAGATCCCGGATTCGAATCCCGCTTCAGGCATGTGTGTAATTTATCTTTCTGTTCTATTTCTCCTCCCTATGTTGTTTGAGTGACATTGCATCTATATAGTACCCATGATAAAGTGATTATTAGAAAAGTTAAGTACATTAGGCGCATCGAGGTTTTCTTTCTCTCTCTATTTTTTTAAATAGAATGACGAAACATTTTTTTAATTTTGACAAAATTCGTTTCTACAAAGAAGTGATAGTTATTACGCCACTTTGACGAACTTTTTGTTCGGAGCATATACCAGGAAGCGGTTTCGTAAAGAACGAAGAAAGTTTCGTGAAATTTGAGCAAGTATTTTTTTTTAATGATATGATAGCTGAAAATAATTAACACAGTTCTCATCTTTCTGGATATTGATTAACTAAAAGTAGTTAAACAACATCGTTAAGTTTGCTTAATTATTTTGTCAATATAGATAACCACTGTTATTTCCGGAGTGGAACACTGACAGCGGACGTAT